TCTGTTTTCCTTGTTTAACTGCATTATTTTACATATACTTCCTTTGAATGAAAAATATAACGTTATTTAAAAATGATTTGGAGATGGGTGGCTGATTTTTTTTTTCTGGTTACTATGGTAACTGTCAAAAGTCAGATTTCTTGGTTTAGAGCTCATTTCTGTGTAATTCCTGGGCCAATCCACATGAAACAAAAACACCTCACATCTTCTTTCTCAGTACATTTCAACTATTTGCTCGACTTAGTTTCACATAAAGGTGTGCAGAAGATACATAGACAGATATTATTATTGATCCATGGTCTAGAAGTGACAATATTTAAAAACATGCGTGACATCTGATCTGGGAGACATTTTCTTTTTCAACATTTCTTTCATAATTGCCTTCTTTCCCAGAGAGATGTATTGGCAGATTCCCTACAATGAACACAACAGGTCTATTAGCTGTTTTGCTAAAATTTCTGGCCAAGGAGCACTCATGACAATAATATAATAAAACATCCTATAGAGGTAGATAATGTTCCTTGTTGTGAACAGCAGTTTCCTGAGTCACCGTCTCACTCCGAAACTCTGTAATCTGTGGATCAGGGCGTCTGGCTCCGGTCTGGACATGGCCTCACTGCTGTAAACACATATTTGGGAATTACATTGTGGCGAGTCCTGCGATCCCATGATGCTGCAATAAGGATTATGTTTGTGTACCTGCAGAGTATGGTCTGAATCACCCTAAAGCGGAGACCGAGACGACACAGAACAGGAGCAGAGAACATGACAGTATTTCAATGAAGAGCCTCAAATCATAACATTTTGTTGAAACAATATTTAAAAAAAATCATCAAAACCTGTTACACTTTATATATTTGTGAGCCAATTGATACTATACAAACTCCAGGAAATGGGAGAGTAACAATGTATCCTTTCTTGTTTCCAGTCAAATCAAACATTCTGGGATGCATCAGGACCAGTTTTATAAATGAGCAACAAAGACCCTCTGTAAGTAGTGATGGTCAGTTGCGGTGGCCACAGCTGCCCTGGGTCAGACTGGAGGAAGTGAGACGGCCAATTCATGGCAGTGTATGTAAAGTGTCTTGCAGAAGTTGTCCCACTGCGGAACCTGTTATTACAGCGGTCTCCCATCACAGTACTCACCAGGCCCTGCACTGCTCAGCTTTTGAGATCAGGCTTTGACAAGTCCTTGGTGTGCTCCTGTATTTGCCTGAGCAGGTGGTGGAGAGGACCTTCCACGACGAGTTCAAGTATCTCAAGTTCACGAGTAGTAAGTAAGTAGTAAGTAATCTTTATTTATATACCGCCTTTTCACTGCAGATCTGAGTCTCAAAGCGGTTTACAATTGTTAATTTTTGGGCATTTGTCTCTCACTCCACACAGAGATGGGAGCGGGGCCAGTACAGGAGGCGCATGCTAGAACTATTGGACATATTTTTAGTGGTAGGGGAAACCGGAGTACCCGGAGGAAACCTACGCAGACACGGGGAGAACATGCAAACTCCACTCAGAAAGGCCCTGGTCCGACCAGGATTCGAACCCAGGACCTTCTTGCTGAGAGGCGAGAGTGCTATCCACTCAGCCACCGTGCCGAGTGAGGGAAGATGGAGAGTGAGATTGACAGACGGATCGGTGCAGCGCGTGCCATTTCAGATGGTTGTGAAGAGGGCGCAGCGTCTGCAGTCAGAGCTGTATCGGACTGTCGCGGTGAAGAGAGAGCTGAGTCCAAAGACAAAGCTCGTATAGCGGCTCAGACTGCTGCCCCGGCAACCGACAACAGATGTATTTAATGCTTTTTTGGACACTCAAAGACTCTTCACCGCATTATTCACTCACTCCAAACACAGTGGTAACAAACTACTACTGTAGCCACAGCTGCCCTGGGGCACACTGACAGAAGCAAGACACCCAGTATATGCCATCGACCCCTCCGACCATTCACACACACACCAGACTCATTCCAGGCAATATGGGTGAATGTCTCACCTAAGTCTTGCTTAAGGTCACAACAGTTTGGCACTTTACAGCCACAGCCGCTCCACTGTGGCACTTGTTGTTCCCAGAGGTCTCCCATCACAGTACTAACCAGCTTAGCTTCAGAAGTTTGAGGGGATCTGGCTTTTGCATGCGATGGGAGCGCTGCTAGATGGATGAAACAATCTCAAATGGGTCAAAACTATACTCCAGTGAGCAAACCACTTGATCACAAATCTTCCTTGCGTGACTTTCTTTTGACTGACTTTAAACTGTCTTCTGTTGATCCCTCTCTTTGACCTGTGCATCTGGAGCGCACATACCGCCTGTCAGCAGACTGAGATTTGTGTAATGTTATCTCTTGTTTGTCACTTACAGTTTGGCTCCTCCACTGCCAAGTAAGTCTTATCCAATTAGAGTGTGGATCAGCCGTTCCCTCTGAGACCAGGCTGTCCACGCTTCTGCTTTGTCATTCTTTCTGCAGAAATGTGGCTGCAGCTGTCGGAACACACAAGTTTGATACTGTACAAGTGTTGGGAAGATGAGGCCTCACAAAGATAACACCAAGTAACAAGTGCAGTATTCTGTCACCCGGAAATGACTTGATGATGGGAATACTGCTGTTATACCAGGCGCACTACTTCAAATGAACAGGATTCTCGCCTCAACACAAGGAGTTAGCTTGAAAAGACTTTAAATCTTCAAGGAATCATTTTGACATGACAACAACCAGCAATTATTTTTGATGTATCACTTATGTCATTTAGACCACAAATATGAGTTTGTACATTTCAATCGACTGCGGCTAAAACTACTCCATTCATTTACTAAAGGGGCAGTAGTTTGAACTCCTAAGCACTGATTACTGATGCAATCCATCTACGGGGGTTTGGACAGAAACGGTGCACATGTACAGTGGGGCAAAAAATCTAGGAATTCACATTGTAGGATTTTTAAAGAATTTATTTGTAAATTATGGTGGAAAATAAGTATCAGAAACGACTCCGTGAAGCTGATCAAGTTCGCGGACGACACCACCCTCATTGGACTCATCTCCAACAACGATGAGTCCGCCTACAGGAGGGAGGTGAACCGGCTGGTGTCCTGGTGCAGTGGTAACAACCTGGAGCTGAACGCCCAGAAGACAGTGGAGATGATTGTGGACTTCAGGAAGAGCACTGTCCCCCCGCCCCCACCCTCCGTGATGGACTCCCCCATCACCTCTGTGGAGTCCTTCCGTTTCCTGGGCACCACCATCACCCAGGACCTCAAGTGGGAGCCGACCATCAGCTCCCTCATCAAGAAGGCCCAGCAGAGGATGTACTTCCTGCGGCAGCTCAGGAAAGCCAAGCTGCCTGCACAGATGTTGGTGCAGTTCTACACGCCCATCATCGAGTCCATCCTCACCTCCTCCATCACCGTGTGGTTCGCTGGAGCCACAGTCAGGGACAAACAGAGACTACAGCGCATTGTGCGCTCTGCAGAGGAAGTGATCGGCCGCAGCCTTCCATCGCTGCAGGACCTGTACGTCGCCCGAGCTCGAGGCCGGGCTGGTCGTATCACAGCCGACCCCTCTCACCCTGCACATGGACTATTCCAACCACTCCCCTCAGGCAGGAGGCTGCGGTCCATCAGGACTAGAACCTCCCGCCACAAGAACAGTTTCTTCCCCTCTGCTGTTGGACTCTTGAACACTTCTTAACCTGTCCCCCCGCCCTTTATAAAGTCACTTTACTGCCCATCATACGTCACTTTACTTCACTGTACTGCTGTCACCTTACATTGTGTGCACCATGTGCACTTGTATATTGTAAATAGTAACTGTAACTCTATTTTAAATTTAAATTTATTCTTTAGAAGTGTTTTTTATTCTTATTTTTATTATCTCTTTTTGACTGTTGCACTGAGCCAAAGCAATTTCCAAGTCTGTGACCTCCCGTTACTTACGTTGGCAATAAAAATGATTCTGATTCTGATTCTGAAAATAAGTATTTGGTCAATAACACAAATTCAACTCAAAATCTCACGATACCCCCATTCATTCTTTCCTTAACACGGATCAGTCGTCCTGTCCCCTTAGCAGAAAAACAGCCCCAAAGCATGACGTTTCCACCCCTATGCTTCACAGTAGGTATGGTGTTCTTGGGATGCAACTCAGTATTCTTCTTCCTCCAAACATGACGAGTTGAGTTTATACCAAAAAGTTCTACTTTGGTTTCATCTGACCACATGACATTCTCCCAATCCTCTGCTGTATCATCTGTGGGAGAACTTGCGCAATCGGTGGCTGACTAAATACTTCTTTGCCCCACTGTAACTGCTTGTTATTGTATCTGATTTGCTATCAACACCTGTAAAAGTACCATCTATAAAATGTGAAATGTTGTTCTCTTTTTCCCACCAAAAATAACCCAAATGTTTTGAGAATTAAGAAGTACTATGGTGGACTGTAATAGTTGCATTTTAGTGTGGTTTTAAAGTGACGCCATCTTTAAATGAACAGGCTTCCAAAACTTCACATTTACGCCTCCATTGTAAAGAGGGAACAGAAACCTCAGCCAGGATCTAATTATTCTGCATGAATAAGTAAAAGGTAAATTGAACCGTGGCTTTAATCTGACTATGCTCAAATTCATGTCATGCAATAATTATAGACTTTCACACCTCCTCCAAAAACTAAACCCATCCCTTTTGAACTCCCTCTGTAATTGTTTTACCCTATGACTGCACTCCTCTCGCTCCCTATTATGCACTACTACAAGTTCCCCCTGTTTTGTTCCCTATTTGGGCTTCGGTGAGGGCAGGGAGGGCGTGACAGCGTGGTGACGTCATGAGAGAAGTAGAGACCTGGGCGCTCAGAGTTTCTTCCACACTAGCGCTTGTGACTGTGTGCCGTGCCGTGCCGCGTAAAAACTCAAAGGCGCTCCGGGAAACCTGACAAGAGACACATCCATCCGTGAAGTCTATATATTTATTTATTTATTTATTCTCTGCTTTTAGTTGTTCATTTATCGCTTTGAAAGATGAGCGGCGTCACGAGAAGCCTGTGCACCTTTGAGGACATACGGAATCAGGAGTATGCGGTGAGTTTTGACTTGGAAAATATAAAAAAAATGTTGCTTACGGAGCTCTGTGTAAATTATGTAAGGATGTAGTCACTGTGTTTTAATTTTATCATGTTCAGAACGCTATTATCAATGTATGTAGGTTTTGTATTTGTTTGTTTTATAGCCCACTTTCGCCACTTGTATAAAATACGACTGCAATGAATGACTCGTAAAGTAGCGTGTGTATCAACCACACTGGCAACGCAAGTGTTGATGTTTTTTGTGTGCTTTAAAGCTGGGGTACTTAACTTTTCTTTGATTAATAATACATTGTCTTTGTCCCTTCACGAAGTATTTTCTGAACAAGTCAGACCACAACATACTGTCTTCTTCTTTTTAGAAATAATGTATTATGTACTACTACTCTATGCAGATTTAGAAAGAGTCGTTTTTTGACTATTTGGACTGAGAGGTGATTGGCTGTGGGAGGGTGGTCCTCTTTTTCACTTTTCTGTCTGAAAAAGCTGATCTAAGGATGTGACAAACACCAAAATACATGCAGGTGTAAACTAGTGAGAGAACTAAATTGTTTTGAGAGTGAGGATTTTATGGAATGTTGAGATGTTTGGCATATTTGGATATAAGTTCAGTTTTTTCTTGTGTCTAGTTTACATTGACACATTTGCCAAATTTGAGGCTGCAAAAAGCCAATTAAACATTAATTTTGTCAATTACATATTTGCTTGCATAGTTTTCAATTCAAACAGCAACATGTGACTTCCACAGTTCCCCTTCGTCCTGAATGGCCTCCTCAGCTCTACTTGTATTCAGTCTTTAAAGAATTATCCGCTCAGATGGACGCTATAGTGGAACATCAGGTGCTTGTGTAGATGTGTCAGGGCTTATAGGGCTGTGACTGATTCGAAGTAGCAGAGTGGCACAACAACAGCAGAGGGGTGTCAAGATTAATTGATTTAACCTTAATCCAGATTATTGAACTCACTGGGATTGTAGAAGAAAAGGTGCCCATTGAATATAGAGCACATAGCCCAATGCACAGCCTACTGAAAGATGTCGAGAATGTGAATAGTTTTAAAAAGCAAAATTATAATGTAAATGGTTCAATGCAATTCTAATTCTGATTTATTTTTGAAGCGGTAATAAAATAATCTGTGTTTAAGGATGATTATGTAAGTATTCAGAAGGCCTATAGGGCATCTGCACGCTTGTTTTATATCACTGCTTATTGCATGCTGCCAACTACTACAACTACACTCAATACAAAAATTCACTTATTTTTGTGTTTGAAATGACATAAAATTAGGGGTTTGTTTGTAGTTTCTGTAGTTCATGACAATTTAAGTTCTATTCACCTAATTAACCTAGATTATTGTATTCAGTCCACGTTTTTCGCGACCATTTTCAACCCATATTTTCTTATTTCAAGTAGAAGCTTCTCTCAAATGTGAGATAAATTATATACTGTATTGGAAAATGTATTGTCTTCTTAATTCAGCCTAAAGTCAGAAATGTCTTCAAAACAGTGAAATATGAACTCACTTACATTTAGAACAACCTAAATCCAAGTGTTTTTTTTTGTGACAGATTTAGCTTTTTACATCTTTAGAGCTGAGAAAGCAGCAGATTCCTTTTCTCTACACAACAAAAAGTTTGAAAGTGAAATAATGCTTTTAACAATAGTACTATTGAAGCTTGGAGCCATATAAACATATTGTGGCGGACTTGCATAGGGACAGCGTGACATCAACCCTTTTTCCGATGAATTTTGCTCCGTGTGTTTAACTGTAGTTTAATGATTATCTCTGTTCTGAAAAAGCAAACTGTAAACCTGTGCTTTACGACAAGGAAACTTAGCACTTTCCCCTTATCTCCACTGTGACCTGTGCGTTCAAATGTCCCACTGCGGCCTGTCTGAGTCTGCACATAAAACTCACCTGTAGAACAACCCGAGCGTCACCTGAGCTGATCATATGTGTCGTGAGGCCATTAACTATACAAATATATTCACTCTAATGGGAGGTTAATAATGACACGTTGAACCTTGGCACGCAACACAAATTATACTTCCTCATGCAACAGGCAAATAAGAACCACCCCCTTTATTTGCACATGATAGCTGTTCCAGGATCGAGGCTTCATACCAGCGTAGAATTAAGGAACATGAGGTTTTGCAAACAGTAATTGATAGTGTAACTTGTATATAATCTGCACTGGTTCCTTTCCTTTATTTATGATTGTTTTGAAATAATTTTGTGTTTAAAACTATGACAATATTATACAAAATAAACATATATGACATATTAGCTGCTGCTTCTGTTGAGAAATTAAAAATGTAAACTTTTGCTCTGGCTATACATTTTTCTGAATAGGTTTTTTAAAAGAATGATTAGCCATTTCATTTCAGAATGATCTTTTATTGAGTTATTACGGAGCACTTTGGCAGCAGTACGTCTGTTTGTAGATGAGCTGTGTAAGTAAAGTTGACCTTGACCTAAAAGAATGAGGATGACTGTAAAGTATAGGCAGGTGCTCATAGAACTCTATGGGAAGTCAGTTTTCTGAAAAGAAAATTATTATTTCATTCTGTTTAAATAATGTTGAAAATTAGCATGGTCTTACTATAACACTAAAGACAATGTAGGTCTGCCCAACGTAAAAAAAATAAATAAAAGATTCACAAACCTGCCATATTATTCTTATGTCTGAAGTCCTTTTCATGCATATGTTTTTTAAACCAATTTTAGGTAACTTTACGAATAAATAATTAGACCGTTGTTGATATAAACTTATACGTGGAACCTTGTGACAGTTTATGTTTTGCCCATGGATTGGCCCAATAATTACTTAGAAATAATCTTAAAACTAAGACAATTGATTTCTAAACGAAGACGAGGAGTCAGTGACCAGAAAAGATTTTTCAGCTGTCCTCCGCCACAATATTTCAACTATAAGCTCTTTGGAATGCGGTGATGTCACATGAATGCAATCTTTAAGCGTTTCTAGCGTTGAGACAGTATTTTGTCACTATTGCATGACTTCATACTGTACATCACCACCAGTCAGTCGTTTGTGACATCAGCAGCTGGGAAAAGAACCAACAAAATGGCACGTAAAAACATCACCGTGGAGGCATGTGAGCGCCCATCTGCTTTTGCCTCGTAAAATCCAAAGAGATGACAGTCACATCGTGAATTTTTTCATTATGAGTGAAAGAAACTGCTTCTATACTGTGTGTTGCGTCAGTGCGTTCGGTAAATCGTGTTCTGACGGGAACTTGCACACTTCGCACCTGGGGGATAGGTCTGCTCGAGTTTGTTCAGACGGGAAAACTGAAGCCAAAAAGTGAGACGCAAGCATTTGTCATGATTGTGTTGGAGCAGTTATAGCCAACATTTAGATGGCGTGAGTAGAAATGTATCATAAGTGTGGCCTTACCTGCTCTTGCTCTCTCTCAAAGGACCACATTATACTCTATTTTATTTTTTTAAAGGTATTGTCATAAACACAACTTTTAATGTGCTGCATGAAAATCAATACAAATACAATAAAATAAATAAAATGCTGCCCAATAAAAACACTTAAAAAATAGAAATAAAATCAATGAAATGTATAAAATGGTTAGACATTTGAATATTGTGAAACTAAATTTTTTTGAATAACTATTTGAGTTGTGGCCTGCTCTATCGGTTGTTTCCCATTCCTTTGTTTTTCATGTATTATCGCACATCCACAATAGTATTTAGGGCCGCCAGATGTATAATGAATGGAAGACACATTTATGAAGAAAGATTGTCATACAGTAAAGCTTTGTCCCTTTAAGTCAATACATTACTTTTAAGGCTCTATACTCGACTAAACTATTTCCGTTATCGTGGTCCATATATTTCCTGACCTTGCCCTTTGCCCGTTTTTTTTGGAGCCTGGAAAAGTGCCTCCAGAATGCAGACGGAGGCATCTGCCACCACTGTGTTGCTGCCCTCTCTCCAGTGACGCCGCAAAATACCTCACATTGTTTTATATTGAACCAATAGAAATGAAGGAGGTGGAGGTTGGAACTGGTTTGATTTGGAAGATCTGGAAGAAGTCGTCTGCATTGTGCGTGTAAACAAAAAAGGCAATCGTTCCCACAGCTCAAAACACACATGATAGTGTATTCAGTGAGAAACCGCTTGTCTGGACATTCCTGTGAAGTTACGTCTAGTTTGCTCCTAAATAGATTTGGTAACAGATAGCTTGTGATATGAAAATAAGAGTTTTGTTTTTATCTAAACATTATACATAATTGTCAATCAATCAATCAAGAAATCTTTATTTGCGCTTCGACGTACATTTATGGACATAATGTATTAAACGAGTTCAAGTTAAAGTTATGGACTTTCGAAACCACTTCTTGTCACTCGCATGAATGGACTTCATTTGATAGATACCACATTGAAAACTGCTCGTCATGTAAGGATTCCTGCAGAACTTTGCGTCCACACAAATTTAGGAACAAAAGAAAATCTGCATCTGGGTTGGATTTAGTATGAAGTCAAAAGCATATTTCAGAGTTACTGCTGTTGTGAGAAAAACAGACAAATTACAACCAGAACCTCAGTGAAAACCTTTTTAAATTTGTTTTACTGCAACAAAAGTGACAGAAGTAGGACATTATTTGATTGAAGTTATTCTACATATTTACATATTTTACACTTGAAATGAGAAACAGGAGCAATAGCACTGGTAAACCTCTGTGAAGACCATTGGAATTCCCAGTATAACTTATTAATCAAACTATACAATTACAGTTCTAGTTCTTGTTCATGTCCTGCTTTAAAAATTGAAGTTTAGAGCACATTTTTCTGTAATTCCTGCGCCACTCCACATCGTTGTCAGCACCAACTATAGTCTAATTATTTTGTCAGTGAAGGGGACTAAAAAAAGTGACAATATTAAAAACAGAATAAAAACTTAATGATGTTGACTAGTTTGTGAATATATTAAATACTGATAGATTCATGAACAGATAATGGCTTCTTTATTGCCACCTGTCAGAGCAGAAATTTAAATCTACACCATGAGCACAACTTATTATTTTTTCCTGTTCTTATTTTGCTCTAATTTACCAAATGTCCTGCTCCACTGAAACTCTATCCAGCTTGTGCCTGGCGTGATTCGGCCTCCACGGCTCTGCACCTGTCGACTAAAGCTTTATTCTTTACTCTGAGGATGGAAACGGCATCTGTGCTCCAGGTCCGGGGGAGATTTAAGCGGCACATACCGCAGGAGGAATGTACCGCAGGAGGAGCTGTTTATCTGCAGTCTCATCTGCCTTATCCACCCCACTCCGCTCCAATATTGGGTCAAAATGTTCCTTTTTTACCCACCCATTGATATTTGACCCGAATACATAAAGTGGTATCAAGTATTGGAACGATGCTGCCTATTCAGAACTCAAGTATTTACTCAAATAATCAAATAGTACTTTATTTCTTATCATTTGTTCATTAAGTATTTAGAGCAGAGTTTTCCAAAGTCTGGAGCACTGCACCCCCTTATCAAAAACAAGATCCCTAAGGCCTTCCCGGGGATCTTCAAATTGCAATACACATACAATATAATGTAATGGTTTTCCTATTAGATTTATACCAAAAACACATAAACATACAACATTGAAGTTGTATGAAACAGTAATTGTGTAACCCCACTATACAATCAAATACTTGTCATAATTGTCAAAAACAGCTTTACATTCTAATAGCTGGTTTTGTGGGCAGCGTTGGGGTCCTCCCTGCAGTGCCCGGACCCCACTCTGGGAAGCTCTGAAAACTTGAAAAAGTGAAATAACATCGTCCATGGCCTTATTTCAACAATTGTCTGAACAAATATCCAATAACCAAAACTTGGATTAGTGAATCATATCAGTATCATAAATGAGGGCAATAAAACTCATTGATTTTCCCTCTATTCAGATTTGAATCAGTCGTGCAAATATTGGCTTTTAAAGTTTATTATGGGCAGCGTGGGTTGACTGAACCTTCAGTTTGTTTCCAGGACAGTGCTGATATGAAGAATTATTCTCATTGCAGTGATGCTTCCTCTGTGTGAGTCTCAGCTTTCTGTCTTTTGTGCTCAGAGTGGGATAGAGTTACGCTCTCACCAAATAAATCATAATAAATGACTCGCATTCAGACCAGTAGTCTATTTATTATGACAGATCAAAAAGATTCAGCCGTGAGAGACGATACTTGGAAGGAAACTTGTCACTCCCGCGCTGCTGGGTCTATAATGTGATCCTGGACATTCCTTTTTCTGTTTCATGAAACTGGTTTGAGCTGAAGTTAGTTTTTAACCCTCCTTCACACCATGTCCCTTCACCCTTCTGTCCACTCGCCCCTATCTCAAACTATTCTCCAGTCAATTTTTGTTCACTACAACCTGTATGCCTCTGATAAGACCACGCCATGTTGGAATTAAATTTAAATATAACAGGTTATGTCATATTTATATACCATCTTTCTACACTAGATGGTAGTGTTGGCACAGTCAGTCATCTCTTACTTAATTTATGTTCTCTATCCATGTATTTTCTACTTAATGCATTATTCCGTGCCAAAGGTAGAGATTTTATACTTGTTTTTTTATGTTAGAGATTTTATTTTATTTTATTTAGTATAGAGTTATTGTTCATTTATCTTGTGCTGTGTGATACTCATTCCTACTTTTCTGTAACTGGTGATCTTAGTATTAATTTTACAATCTAAAACAAAGAAACGTCAACATAAATATCCCACTTTCTTTTTTACTTATCTTTATTGTCTGTAATTAATGAATTTATTGTTGGTCATTCAGAGCTAGTTTTATTATCTTTTGATTTGATTTTGTCAGTGTGAATTTTATCATATGCAGCACTCAAGAATGCTTATTGTTTATAAAATGTGCGATACAAAATAGTGGATTGGATCATGTTTGTTCTTTAGGAATCTCAAATCAGCCCAAACCTCTTAGCACGTGCACATAGCGTTCTGAATACAACTTTATCTTATGTTCCTTATTAAAGTGGAGGCTATCGCTGCATATTCGCTGCAAGACTTTTGGATTGGCCTTTGTAGCTGTATAAAGATGAATTCCTTGGTAACAGCCACACTTCTGTTCTGCCCAGTATCAGGGCTCTCTCAGGTGTGGGGAGAGAGCATAGAGCACGGCCTTCTTCAATAGACTTTTGACTTTTGTTTATTATGACAGGACCCCTGCAACAATGTCCTATTTCCAGTGACCCACAGTTTCTCTTTCCACAAACACTGCACTTCCCAACACCACAAAGACATGGGGTCGGATGTAAAATAAATACTTTTGTAGCCACGCCTGCCTCTTTATCGACATTATACAACCGGCTGCATTTGGCCTGTGGCTGATATCAACGTTACAGTCAATACTCTCTGGTACCATAAACATTTATTATAGTTTCGCAGCAACTGTCCACAGGCTGCACTCAAATCATCCATTTGTCATTATTTTAGACTCCGCCCTTGAATAACATGAGGATCAACATCTCTGGGATCTTTAAATTGAAAGAATGTGATGAATGTGTGAATTGTTATATAATCTCTTTTTGTAATTACTGGAATTCTTGAACAGTCTTCCTGAAAATGTGAGACAGGCTTCTTCTCTGACAATGTTTAAATTCAGGTTAAAACAGTTCTGTTTAGCTGTGCGTACAACTGAGGGATTTTATCTTCACTCTTTTTAATGTACTGTGATTATTTGTGATTTTAATGCCTTGTTGTTTCTGTCTTGTTTTGTTCAGCACTTCCTTTGTGTATGAACTGCTATACAAATCAATCAATCCAACATTTTTTTGTAGAGCACAATTAAAACAGCCTAGGCTTACCAAAGTGCTGTACAGACAGTATTAACCAGCACAATAAAAACACATAAAAATACAGAATTATATATACCTCGCTCCCATCTCTGTGTGGAGTGAGAGACAAATGCCCAAAAATAACAATTGTAAAGCACTTCGTGACTCTGGCCTGAGAAAGGCGCTATATACATAAAGATTACTTACTTACTTATACACATAGAAACCAAAAGCGTTCTTCCTAAATTGAATAAACTTGCCATATATTCATGTCTGGTAGAATAATGGAATAAGAGTTGGTCTGAATGAGCAGCTCTCCCGTCTAGTGATAAAAGTGGTACGTGTACGTGTAACATGTAATTTGACTAGAGAAGCGTATTGTACTCTGACATTACTGATTAACGAACAACGCCATCATCATACATCACTAATAGACGTGGTATTGACTGTGTGCTTGGCCTGTCTGCTGCTGGAAAAGTCAACAGAGCTCGATGTGACGTTATGTAACGCTAATATACTCCCTGGCATGTACTATAGGGTTCCCTTCCCTCTCCCAGTCCAGACTTTTCCTATTAGATAAACTCCCTCGCTTCTGACGCAGGCAGTTTGGGACCGTTTTGAGGTGAACTCAGCAAATTGCCCTGGTGTTCATTCTTTTTTGGGTTTCGTGTAGGAAGGGGCTGAGTCGCTACGGTAATCCCCCATACTGTTTCAATTTTCTTTCTGAGAAATACAGGCACTTCTCTAAATTGGCTGGAGAGTTTCCGCCTATGTCCCAGTGACGTCCGAACCAGGCGCACACTCCATCTAAACTATTTGTGTGTGTGTGTGTTTGTGTGTGCGCTTGTGTGCGTGTGTTGTTGCAGTGATAAAAAAAAGAGAAGGCACTTTACTCCATGACTCAATCTCTCCTCCTCAGAAATAGCCCGGACCCTCCATCCCATAACAGTCTCTTTGTGGATTCATATTCATCCTTAGTCTTTTCTGTTGCCTCACAGGATCGCTGCAGACGGCTTAGGCTGACGCTGCACGACCAAAGTCAGACGCGAGATCACCAGCGGGATAAGGTGAGGACTTCCTGCCGCTCAAATACATACATAACATTCTATAATTGGTTGTTAGACAAAGACGCAAGAAAACTGTGGATAGTAGTTGTATAATGTCATGCTGCGATGTTAGATTCGGAAATGCCATTGGTGTTTTTGATAGGATTTCCCTTGTGTCTCCTTTTGAAGTTGTCAAAATCTAGTTGTAGTCCGTAGGCGAATGTTCAGTATAATTAGTAATCAGTATATACCACAACGTTGCTGCATTGAATCTTGCTCGATTCTTAAATACTTTCCCATGCAAAGTAGTCTAATAAAGTCACTCTAGTAAATACATTTGTGAGCCATTTAAAACTGCATTGGAATACCAGTGCACCATGGACAACAATATAAAAACAGACTACAAATATAAATGCATAAAAGTACATAGGATTGCAATAAGAAAAAAGTAGCAGTTGTAATTAGTGGTAAGGAGATACTGTAATAGAGGTTGTCAAAGATGCTAAATTGAAAATTGCGTTGTGGAAATCCTAAATCCTACTCAAGATTTGCTCAAAACACATGGCTAAGAATGTTCAGTGATGTTGTTGTAGTAAAGAAACCACTTAAATCCACTGCATTCCTGCATGCCTAATTCTTTCACCCAAGTAAGGCCCCACGCAGCTTTTAGTTTCCATTTACAGTCTGCATCCCCGGCGTGTCTCAAGGCAACCATTGTTCTGTGAAAGAGCAGCTCCTAAAAAGGACCAGGACAGAGGACAGTGCTGTTACATAAGCTCTGCACTCAGCCCTGTGTCCACTGCTGCTGAGAGACAGAGAGCAGATGCGTTGTTATATCAGCGCTCAAACATTTCAGGACTAATTGTTGATAACTTATCATATCTTAGTGAGCCCAATGTGAATACATGGTGCCACTTTATCACTAGTAGTGATAAACTACTATTGTAGCCGGAGTTGCCCTGGGGCACACTGACAGAAGCAAGCCACGCACACCAGACTTATACTGAGCATTATGGGTTAAGTGTCTTGCCGAAGGGTACAACAACTGTTAGCACTTTACAGCCGCAGCGCACGCACTGTGGCACATGGTGTTCCCAGAGGTCTTCCATCATAGCACTGACCAGGTACTGCCCTGCTTAGCTTCAGAGGTCTGACAGGATCTGGCTTTCACACGCAGGTGGTGCCACAGACTATAAACAATGATCACTTCGTTATTGATGCATTTGTGACAAAAAGTCAAAAAGAAAAAATACTTATTGAAAACAAATTCTATCCCATTATTCTTGAACACTAGTTATTCATAGTTTAGAAGACACATTTTGTACTCCTAATCCCTAATATGTGGCACACACTGCCAAAACTGGCAAAATGTACAACAAATTTGATCTTAAAAAAAGATTTGCAAAAATGTCATACTTCAACTGCTGTTGCAGTATCTTCTTTTCATTACAAGTGAGACGTTTTTGTGTTCCTCCCATAAACAGATGAAGTCCAAATTTACTTTATAACTTTTTATTTTATCTGTTATTTTAATTCTATTTTTTATATTTATATTGATCATATTTTTGAATGAGTCTGTTCTAACACAACTTCAGCGAGTCTGCATTGGTTGCAGCCCTGAGCTTTTTCCACATTATGACAAATAATAGCTCTCAAAAAGGCTTCTGTATATTCTATTGTAATAACATTGAGGAATAGAAATGACTTTCATCGCATTTCTGAATTTGCATTAATTGCACAAGCCTGAATCATCTGTGCATAATGCTGCACATATAGAAACATATTCTGTTTGGATTACAGACCTGAGCTGTATACGCATTCTAGCCACTCAACATACAGCTCAACGGTTATTTTTCTTCTGTAATTGTTCTGCCTTAAAGCAAAAGTGCAGATGATTATCTCCGTCGCTCCTGTCACTAGATAACACGTAATGGAAGCCGTCTCCTTTGTGTGGCCAGGTTTTGTCGTATCAAGGACTTTCTCTCATTGTTTGCTGATGTTTATCTAAAGTGTGTGTTTGCTCTGCAGCCTGTCGGACGTGCTTTTGCTCTGGTGCAGCCTCCCAGTGAACGGCCATTGGTCACTCCAGAACCAGTCAAGTCCAAAGAGGAGCAGGTGGAGGTCATCAAGGTGAGAAGACCCCACAGTGTTCACAAGGACGACTATCAAAACTCGTATGATGCAAGACGGCAGTGCTTATAGTCAGTTCAAATAAATACAAAGAAGTACATTGTGTGTTTTAATACTCCCAAACACCATTAAAACTTATTTATTGAGTATGAAAGTTCCAAAACGTTCTATTCTCTACAGAGATGTTATTGTTTTGGCTGGAAGTACAGTAGCAGACTTGGGACTCAACTTGGACTCGAAAGCCAGAGCTTGTGGATTTGTTTTTCTTCCTTCAAATGTTAAATATTAATCATTAGAAATAGAAATAAACAATTTAATCACCTGGAACATTTACAAAAATCATCTCTATCATACAAATACAGTATGAGGAGTGTACATTTGTTTGAAGATTTGAGAGAAGATGACTTGGGATTTGGCCTTGACCTGACGTGAAATAAGCACTTGATTTGAGTCCAAGCGTAAAAGTTGGACTCAAGTATTAATGCGCAGTATACAGTGAAAGAGATGGACCCTGCACTAGAAAACCTACATGCTGGAGCCTTAGAACCTTCATTTAGAGCCACGTTGATTCGTGTGCCGCGTCCGTTTGGCAGGTTTACCTGGAGGCCCGTCGTCAGGAGCAACAGAAACACGAGCAGAGCCTCAAGATGTTGTCAGATGAAGTCTCACAGATTCAGGAGGTGAGTGGCTTTTAGTGTTTTAGTCAAGGGGTCTCCAAATCGGCTCCGGAAACGTCCAGTGCGGTGTGGCTGCAGGTTTTCTATCCAACCAAGCAGGAGCAGAGCAGACTCCACCCGTTATGTGCTAAAATTTTAAGGTTAAGACTGAACTCAGTGAGGAAATGGAGTCTGCTCTGCTCCTGCTTGGTCTGATAGAAAACCTGCAGCCACACCCCCTTGGAGACCCCTGCTTTAGTGCATTAATCAGCCCATCCGAATTTGTCGTTAAAACTCTTCTAAATGTGAATGCCTTTTGCCGCGCCCCCTTTGTTGTGGACAACTCTATTGAGCAAGACTGCAGGGTCTTTTACAGCTGCACACGTTTGCATCATGTGAATAATGTCTCCTCTCTGCGCCACCGCCCTTATTTTCACTCTTCTGATATAAGTTTGGGTGTTCTCACTCTGCAGAGCCTTATTCCGCTCTTGTCTGACAAACTAATCTACCGTTCTGGCTCTTATTTTGTTCCATCATGTCAGATAATCGGGTAAGAAATCCAGTACTTTTCACCTGATGTGTCTGATCTGAGGTCCCATGTTTTTAAAGATCAGTTTGTAACTTGTTTTTCTGAACAGGTGCGGTACAGCTTGAAGACGCTGAGGGAGCAGATGGCGGCCAAAAATAAGGTACGCTGTTTTGTGCTGCTTTTTCCTTTGTTGTCATTTTGCTATTGTGAACTTGAACATCCTGTCCACCGCATGGAATTTCCTGCATTTCTCTTTTGCATCTCCTGAGGGTAGGACTGGACATTTATGACATTTTAGAAGCAAAACTAACTTGTTTTCATTCAATCTAATAAGTTATGCGTTTAACATTCATATTCATTACTTTATAAAATGTGTTTCAAAATATCAGTGTCGGCACTATGTTACTGTACTGATTGTTTTTCTAACAATAATAACCCTATAGGTGTCTATAGCTTTTGCTGGATCCTAAAGTAGATAATAGAGTGAAGACAGTATTTAATGTCCCAAAATAGAATCAAAATGACGATATTTTGCTCAAAGCTTCATTGTCTTTTCTTGTGTCCAGACAAACGGATGGAGGACTGCGTTTAAGAAGAACACCCCTGCACCTAAAGAAGAAGCAAAACAAGAAGCACAGGTACGATCGTCTATTCGGCTTTGGCTTCATTTATGAGAGATCGAAATGATTGGGTCCTGCGGTCTATGCACATACTACACTTTATATCATAATTTTTAAGAGCAAGCGTGATTGGACTCTATATCCATCATTGCTTCCTATTGCCTCCATTTCTCTACACGTAAAAAGATGAGAAAATCAAATTTTAAATCGTTCAGCTGTGGTTTAGTTATGCTCTAGTCCAGCATTTCTCAATCAGGAGAACAGGGACATACCAATTTGAATAGTGTCAATACGGAATACAGATTACATAATGCTGTCTTTGTTTTTGTTTGCTATTTTTTGGCTTAAACCTAATTCAAACAAGCATTCAGATAAACCGCTATAACAAAGTAATGACTAATGACAAATATAACTGCCTTGCACAATATGGGGGAACTTAAGAGCGTGAAAATATACTTTTGGGATTCTTCAAGCACATACATTTGGCAACTCTCCTCTGGTTTATGATAAGAGAAAATATTTTTGTCTCGCAGAGGGGATATTTCCGTCTAGACTGTAATCTGGGTTTAAAAAGTCCCAGTTTCTCCCAGATGTTAATGTGTGTAATATATGTTGAGCTTACGTAAGTGTACCCAGTTAAACCATAGCTGCTACTTTTGTCCTGAACTGCAGATAAACACAGTGTTCTTGTATCGTTCCCTTTCACTTGTACCGTACCGCGCCAGGTGTCACATTTACAACCTGGAGTCTGGAATACGGCTCCGAGAATGTGAAAAACAAGCGCTCCTGGCAGCCGGGAGTCCTTTCTCTGCACAATCTGTCCTCTCTGGGCTGTTCTTTATTATGCTCAGGAGCCATTGTTCATCACATTCCTACGCTGCCATATATCTGTAATGGTTTTTGTTTTGAGGGCGTGAGACCCACCTACTTTCCACAGCTACTACGGTTTACGTTTCAGCATCAAAACAGTGACGAAATGCTGTTTGACGAGGCTGTTTGGCACTAATTATAGCATTTACCATGAATCACATGGAGGAGTGTTATTGTGTCACTCAATACTGATCCATAATGACGCACACGGACACGCCTGCTGCACTGGGACAACCGAACCCACAGGACTTCTCGCTGTGAAGCAATGTTTTATAAATGATGTAATTCACAAAGTTTCCATGTAATCGGTTTTGTTGTTTTTAGGAATTGGACAATGAAGCTGAAAGAGCGAAATTGAGGGAAGTGAGCAAAAAACTTTATGCACAACTCCACGAAGCAGAGAAGAAACACCAGGAGGAAAAGGAGAGGCTGCAGGTGAACACTTAAATATGATCCAGTCCCACCCTTTTCTAAAGCTGCTGTTGTAAAGTTTGACATGCATTTATCTCACACACGTTTGAAGCATTTCAGAAATCAATTTACATGTTCATATGGTTTTTAGCTACTTTCAGCACAAGCTTTCAGTGCTCCTCCATTTTAGTGCCTCCAAAATCATTTCCAATTATTTTTGATTTGAAGCATTGATGCACTTAAATAATAATAGAGGTTACCATGGCATGCTGTACATCATTTTAAAGCCAATCTTTCATAGAAAGTCTTTTAATGTATTCAAAAAACTAAATATTGAACTTAAAACATTAGTCCATCCATCCATCCATTTTCTTCCGCTTTATCCGTTGCCGGGTCGCGGGGGCAGCAGTCTAAGCAGAGACGCCCAGACTTCCCTATCCACACACACTTCCTCCAGCTCGTCCGGGGGGACCCCAAGGCGTTCCCAGGCCAGCTGAGAGACATAGTCCCTCCAGCGTGTCCTAGGTCTTCCGCGGGGCCTCCTCCCGGTGGGACGTGCCCGGAACACCTCCCCAGGGAGGCGTCCAGGAGGCATCCGGAACAGATGCCCGAGCCACCTCAACTGGTTCCTCTCGACGTGGAGAAGCAGCGGCTCTACTCCGAGCTCCTCCCGTGTGACTGAGCTCCTCACCCTATCTCTAAGGGAGCGCCCAGCCACTCTGCGGAGGAAGCTCATTTCGACCGCTTGTATCCGCGATCTCGTTCTTTCGGTCATTACCCAAAGCTCATGACCATAGGTGAGGGAGGGAACGAAGATTGACCGGTAAATCGAGAGCTTTGCCTTTCGGCTCAGCTCCTTCTTTACCACAACAGTCCGATACAGCGACCGCATCACTGCGCACGCTGCACCGATCCGCCTGTCAATCTCACGCTCCATTCTTCCCTCACTCGTGAACAAGACCCCGAGATACTTGAACTCCTCCACTTGAGGAAGGACCTCTCCACCCACCTGAAGAGGGCAGGGCACCTTTTTCCGGTCGAGCACCATGGCCTCAGATTTGGAGGTGCTGATTCTCATCCCAGCCGCTTCACACTCGGCTGCAAACCGTCCCAGTGCATGCTGCAGGTCCTGGTTCGTTGGAGCCAACAGGACAACATCGTCCGCAAACAGCAGAGATGAAATCCTGTGGTCCCCGAACCGGACCCCCTCCGACCCCTGGCTGCGCCTAGATATTCTGTCCATAAATACAGTGAACAGAACCGGTGACAAAGGGCAGCCCTGTCGGAGGCCAACATTCACCGGGAACAGGTCTGACTTACTGCCGGCAATGCGAACACAGCTCTGGCTCCGGTCATACAGGGACCGGATGGCCCTCAGCAGAGGACCCCCGACCCCGTACTCCCGGAGAACCCCCCAAAGGACACCCCGGGGAACACAGTCGAACGCCTTCTCCAAATCCACAAAGCACATGTGGACAGGTTGGGCGAACTCCCATGAACCCTCGAGTATCCGATGGAGAGTATAGAGCTGGTCCAGTGTTCCGCGACCGGGACGAAAACCACACTGCTCCTCCTGGATCCGAGATTCGACCATCGGCCGTAGCCTCCTCTCCAGTACCTTGGAGTAGACCTTACCGGGGAGGCTGAGGAGTGTGATCCCACGATAATTGGAACACACCCTCCGGTCCCCCTTCTTGTAGAGAGGGACCACCACCCCGGTCTGCCACTCCATTGGCACCGCCCCCGATCGCCACGCGATGTTGCAGAGACGTGTCAGCCAAGACAGTCCTACAACATCCAGAGACTTTAGATAATCAGGGCGGATCTCATCCACACCCGGAGCCTTGCCACCATGGAGGCTACCAACCACCTTGGTGACCTCAGCCAGGGAGATGGATGTATCCGCCCCAACATCCTCAGCCTCTGCCTCTGAAACAGAGGACGTGACGGGGGGATTGAGGAGAACCTCAAAGTATTCCTTCCACCGCCCGACAATATCCCCAGTCGAGGTCAGCAGCTCTCCACCCGCACCGTACATGGTGTTGGCAAAGAACTGCTTCCCCCTCCTGAGGCGCCGGACGGTTTGCCAGAATTTCTTTGAGGCCGACCGATAGTCATGCTCCATGGACTCTCCGAACTCCTCCCAGTCCCGGGTTTTTGCCTCTGCAACAGCCCTGGCCGCGGCACGCTTGGCCTGCCGGTACTGGACAGCTGCCTCAGGAGTCCCCCGAACCATCATGGCTCGATAGGACTCCTTCTTCAGCCTGACAGCATCCCTTACTGCCGGTGTCCACCACCGGGTTCGGGGGTTGCCGCCGGGACCAGCACCAGAGACCTTGCGACCACAGCCATGAGCCGCCGCATCGGCGATTGAGGCAGAGAACATGGTCCACTCGGACTCCATGTCCCCCTCCTCCACCGGGACCTGGGAGAAACTCTCCCGGAGGTGTGAGTTGAAAGTCCGTCTGACAGGGGGCTCAGCGAGACGTTCCCAGCAGACCCTCACTATACGCTTGGGTCTGCCAGGTCTGACCGGCTTCTTCCCCTGCCAGCGGATCCAACTCACGACCAGGTGATGATCGGTTGACAGCTCCGCCCCTCTCTTTACCCGAGTGTCCGAGACACGCGGTCGAAGGTCAGATGATACGACAACAAAGTCGATCATCGACCTCCGGCCTAGGGTGTCCTGGTGCCACGTGCACTGGTGGACACCCTTGTGCTCGAACATGGTGTTCGTGATGGACAAACTGTGACTGGCACAGAAGTCTAACAACTGAACACCGCTCGGGTTCAGATCAGGGGGGCCGCTCTTCCCGATCACCCCTCTCCAAGTGTCACTGGCGTTTCCCACATGGGCGTTGAAGTCCCCCAGGAGAATAACGGAGTCCCCGGGCGGTGCACCGTCCAGTACCCCTCCCAAGGACTCCAAGAAGGCCGGGTACTCTGCACTGCTGTTAGGCCCGTAGGCCGTCACAACAGTGAGAGACTTATCCCCCACCCGGAGGCGGAGGGACGCGACCCTCTCATTCACCGGGGAGAACTCCAACACGTGGCGGCTGAGATGGGGGGCAATGAGAATGGCCACCCCAGCTCGCCGCCTCTCCCCGCGGGAAACACCAGAAAAGTGGAGCGTCCAACCCCTCTCAAGGAAACTTAAAACATTAGTTTTAGTAAAATTATGAATTCATGATTATAATTAAAACACAAATAGGAACATACATGTAATATTCATAAACACATGAATAGATATATACGGTACAAACATAATTCACCATGTGTCGATATATTTGCAAAATGTATTTACAGGAGTTGGTTCAGACCGAACAGAACTGAACTCATTTTGTTCGAAAAAATCTACTAGAAAATAGTATACAAAATCAAAACAATTCACAGAGGAGTATAGTCTAATAGTAAAAAGCATAGGTGCTGATCCATTATGAGTAGGATACCCCTGTTTTACACATTTATTAGCATGTTTTTGCCTAAGGACTATGGAGATGGAAATGAACTTGTAGCTAAATTTCTGATTCATGTTCACACTGTCCTTTTATAAATTCAACTAATTTTAAAAGAAATATTTTAAAACAAACCCTAGTTGAGGGCTGTCACTGTTTATTTTATAGTGGAAATAACTTGTCATCCCAAGATCCTTTTGCAGAATGTGAGTTCTCTGTTTTCGGTTTCAAAGTGAATGCAATCGAAATCAAACAAAAAAACAGAAAAATATAAATCCACACCCTTGATTTCTTGATATATTTCTCTTTTTTCCCCTTACACCTTTTTGGCCATTGTAAATCATAGAAAAGTGTCTAGATTTAGCTTACCTTCAAAACAAAAATTCTATAATGAAATGGATGTCTGCACTCAAATATTTATCATAAAAAGTCCCTAATCTTCCCATCGTCCCCAACACCAATTACATTCCTCCTCAGTCCGTGCTCTGTCCCTCTCTTCACAATGTTCAAACTCTCTGACATTCACTCAATCTCTAAAATTCTGCTCCAGGCCGAGAGCACCCAGCTGAAGGAGCGTCTAGGCCACGAGGAGCAGAAGCTGAGGAGCTCGGAGGAGGCCGCTGAGGGGAAGGACAGGCGCATCGACGAGCTGCAAAGGCTTCTGGGAGGGATGGAGCAGGAGAGCGCCACCTTGAGGGAAGCCATCCGCAGCAGAGAAGAGGAGCTGCAGGAGCTACGGCACATCAGAGAGGGAGGACAGAAGGACGGGCACAGGTCAGTCCTCCACCACCGCTCACTTCAAGACACGTGGAAGATTATACTCAATTTGGGAACATTATAAAAATCCTATTACCCAATAATTACTTTTAAAATATATCTATACAGTATACATGTTGTGTTTGTATGAAGACTCAAAGCCCACGGTTGGCTTGCCTCTGGGTCACAAAGCAGATCAGTAGTGGAGGGTAGAGTGATAGAGTATAGTATTTATTTATTTTTATTTATTTATTTGAATCCCCACTGCACTCTACCTCACTCTTAACGGTCTATTGTGTGCACGTAGAGCGTATAGTAAACTGAAGAAATGTATGTAGATTTTTATTCATGCATGCCTTCTTGATTTTATTCTGCTTTAACTTGTTTGCACCGAGAGCCAAAGCAATGTCCTAGTTTGTGACTTCTTGTATCTCACATGGCAATAAAATGATTCTGATTCTGATTTAGCTTCCCCTATTGGCTGCCGCTAGCCTTCTCAGGGTCCATTCTGTATGAAAATCTAAATTTGAAAGTACAATTAACAACAATATTAAAAGCCTTAATACAGTGGTGAGATTGGTGGATGGATAGATACACAGACAGACATATTATAATACATTATTTTTATTAAACTTATAATTATACTTGCGAAAAGATAAAAATCTGCTAAATTATCCAATAATATCATGTCAATTAAGTATATCCATAATTACTAGAAGTTATTTTATTCAGTGGATGTGTTGTACATGTTCTGAAACAAACATTTTTGATTTGTGTCTCTAATTGTTACTATATAAAAAGGTCCATCGTAGTGCTCCGTGTGGCTCCATTGGTGATAATAGCGTCCTAAAACAGTATGCATTTCCAGGGCTGAGCAGCTGGAGAAGGAAGTGGCAAATTTGAAGGAGAAGATCCACCATCTGGACGACATGTTGAAGTGTCAGCAGAGGAAAGTCAGACACATGATCGAGCAGGTGAGGCACCGCAGCGACACAAGCCTCCGTGTTTGAGGATGTTTGAGGATGTTTGCAGAGAGCTCATGTCTGACTCTGCCCACAGCTCCAGAACTCCCGCATGGTGATCCAGGAGCGAGACCGCGTCATCAAAGAGCTGGAGGAGAAGGTGGCCTTTTTGGAGGCTGAGGTGAGTGTTTGGCTTTCTATCAAACAGTGCAATTATAGGCCTGTATTGAAAGATACCATGGCAATGCTAATGTTTATTTATATAGCACAGTTCATACACAAGGAAACTCAATCACTGTACCATGACATTTTTATTTCTGTGGATACTACCCAATGGAACATTCAATTATGTTGTTAAAGCTGGGGTACCTAGTTTTCAAACCACAAAATGGTGGCACTACAATCCATGTACCTAGTTCCTCGTTGTCAAAACAGTTTGATTCTATCCATAGATTTCACATGCATGCATATTTGGCATGTTTGATCACTTTTTCTTTTCAGTGAAAAAGAGAGAACCATCCTCACCCCGCCAATCAGTTCTCAGCCTAAAGTGACAAATAGTGACTCACAGGGCTCTTTCTTACATGCAGGCAGATAACACCTTTTCTATAAGTACATGGTTCGAAAAGGGGTTGGATGAAGCAAACGTTTATTTGATTCCAGCCTCCATCACATCTAGGTTATTTTCTTTCATGTTTTCCATGTGATTCCTGACGATGATTTTTGTTTATACTTTTGTGTAGAATCGAGAGATGCACGACCAGATGGACTATTTTCTGGGAGGTCAACGCTCAAATTCCTATTTGTCGACAGAGCGCAACCCACAGATCGTCTACAGGTATGTCAGTCTTCTGAAAGTAGGGCTTCTTTATACGATGAAATAAAACATAATATTTAAAAGGAATTAGATCAGTCAAAAAGTCAAGAGGAAAGTGCTGAAATATTTGCTTTTTCAACCCAGACGTTAAATGTGGTATCACTAAGAATGAGTATTGGCCAATTCTCCATGACGACCAATGACTTATGAATGGTTTTCTAATCTGTTATTGGGGAAATCTACAATTGTTTGATTGCAATTTTATACCAAATACATTTTTTTTTTTTTTTTTTTTTACAGCAAACCCATCAAACCAACCACCTCATCCACCAAACCACTCCCGTTCATCAAAGTCATCGAAATCAAATCATGAAGAGAAAAATGAAGTCATAACAAACTACTCTTTTCTTTAGTCAGTCTGTGAATATTTCTGGATTGGAGCTTTCAACACCTTCCAAACATCCTCACGCCCTCAAGAGAACATGTTGGTTTTTAGACTCAACATTTAGGTCAAGGTCATTCTACAGCAAAATCCTCTTCATGTCAAAATACTGCTATTTTGACCTGGTTTTGTAGCTACTGTCCAGGACCAGTGGTGGAAAGTAACCTATATTTTGTACTTTTTTGATATTTTTACTTTTTACTTCACTACATATGAAAGCAGAGATCTGTTCTTTCTACTCCACACATCTAGTTACAAATTGGAGCTGTGCTGAAAAGAAAAAAGTAAATTCTGTTCAATTACAGCTTAATGAAAGACAAGGCAAGTGTATTTGCATCGCACGATTTATACACAGAAACAAGAAAGGAGACCTATAATTAGAATTAGTAGTTCATGCCCCAGCTGTAAGTAAACAAACAACCATCAAAATAGAAAATTAGAAAGTGCACGCTTTCTTTAGGTTCTGGATGTAAAAAATCCTGATACAGATTTCTTTACACTTGTTTGGGATTGATCAGTGGTGACCAATGACCCCCAAGACCAAAATAAAATACTAATAATACTAAGTCTGCTAAATAGAGCAGATGATAAATTAGGAAAGAATTAGCTCTGTAAATTTCTAAATCTCAAAGTCTATGTGAAGCTATAAAATTGGTATTTACATATTTGACTATAGATGTTATTCCATGTAATTTACATGAGTAATATTCTCTTGTCTTAACAACCAAACTAGCACATTCCCCACCACTGGACTGGACTGAGCCCAACTAATCATATGGTGAGTTTATGGATATGTGTGGGGTGTAATTTTTCAACCCGAAAACAGAAATAAAAAGAAATGTAGGTCCCTGCCCTTCATCTGAAGTGAAGATATCGAATGCTATAGTGTGACCACAATCTTGAAGTGACTTTTTAAACCTTGACATATATATTTATAGTGATTCATTATTCACTTTATCCTGCCATGTGTGACGATCTTTGACCGATGACTGCCATTGTTGTGTCAGAACGAGTTGATGTGCAAAGTGCAAAATGACAAGTTTAGCTACGCTCAAACCCATATATGGTCATTAGTTATCTCCTGGTAATCAGTCCTTGTCCAGAAGCTGTTGCTGGTTCTTACACTTTGCAATGTACATCACGAGTGGATTTTATTGTTTCAATATGTTTGACTTTCTACAAAGCATAACATCTTCTAACTTGTGTAAATGTATTTTCCTCTTGTAAAACATTTCAGTCCTCTGCTCCTTTGTAAGTAACTAAAGTGTGTAAATAATCTTTAATATCTTCTCTTCCCTTATTGTATTTATTTATTAACTCTAAAGTCTGATAAGGTTTTATATGAAGTATATTCAAATCGTTGTGTTTGACACTAATAAAAGATTTGCAGTATGTTTGTGCTCATTTCAATTCTCAAGATACTTCAGTGCAAGAGCGCCCTCTGCAGGAAACACACTCGAACAACATAATTAACAAAGTTGTATCTTGACTACATTTTTTACTCTGGCAGAAAAAAATATGGTATCAACAGATTTTAATGTATTACCTCAAATTATATTACAATTGTTCAGTTGGCAGTAATAAGACAAATTAATTAGTCATTCTGTTTGTATTTTCAAGTATGACTTTTGTAAAACGGATTAAGGCAAAAAACATTACAGGCACTGTGTGTATACACAGACAGGACAACAATACATATATTTGGGGTTGTGCTCAAAGAAGCACTTCTGTTTTAGCTGATGGCACAGGTACAAACCAAGAACATGCTGGTGTGACAATGCTGCATAATGTCATTGTGCAATAATAAATACTGATTGTCTGATGCTCCAATACATTTTGGTCAAACAACTCTTAAGTGCATTTGCTTCTTCGTGAACAGTCGAGCAATAACAGTAAAGGCTGTAATATACGAGGTCTGATATGTAAAACCACCACTCCTGTGCATCGGCAGTACAGAGATATCTGTCAGCCAAGGGTCTCCAACCTTTCTCACGCAAAAAAATATTATTTCTAAACCAAAATGGCAGAGAGCAACGCCTTTTAAACAGTCCTGGGAAAAATTAGCCGATATATTGGTAAGAGCGAGCCATTTCTAAATTCTTTGGGGAGTTACCTGGAAGGGGCTGGCAAGTTACAGGTTGGAGACCCCTGTTGTAGGCACTACAAAGACATTCAATTAACTTGTGTTCTATAAGGAGGACACAGGCACTTTAAAGAGTACTGTCCAGTGTGTTGTAGTTGTCTTTGAAGTTCTTCAGCTCCAGCAGGTTTCTGGGCCTCTTGCGCTGAGCCATGAGGGAGGTGCTCTGAGTGGGGGACGTGAGTGTGGCCTCTGTGCTGCTGGTCAGGTCTTTGGCTGCAGCCTGGTGCTGCGTCACTGAGGCACTGCTGCTGCTGTGAGACTTTACACTGAGACAGAAAACACATTGTTTTCCTCCACATACCACATAGGATTAGATAACAAGAACTTACATAGTAGCCAATTCATTCAAAGCATCTTGATATTTTAGAAATTCAGCTTCTCCAAAAGCCTGTAAACAGACCAACATTCAAGAACAAAACTTCAGTGTGAATGTTACTTCTATATAAACAAAGACCTCTGAGCCGTGACGGGCATGATTATAACCCTCCAATATTGAGTCTATGAGGGAACTTTGGCTGTTCTGAAACAGGCAGTGGGAAGTTCGAAGTTGAAGTAGCCACGTTCGAAACCTCTTTCCTGTTACTGCTGTTGATGCCCCGCCCAGCTCATGGAAAGGAAGGTCTAACAAAAAAACAAAAGTCAAAAATCCAACATTGTAAATTGTAAGTAGTAGTACAATAACAGGAGTTGTACCTGTATCTCTGATGGCATCTAACGCTCTCATTCTGTACTTAAAGTCACAGAAAGCTGTCAAGCACAAACACAACATTTACTGTATAATATGAATCAAACAGCAAACGCAGCAATCCTTTTTTTTCTTTTTCTTTTTTACCAGATGTGATTCTGTTGTCGCCTGGAGAGAGCAGACGAGGCTGGAAGTGGATTTTTTGGACCTGGCACAGTTTTGCTTCTATCAGTTGTTTGAGCTCCTAAAGCACATACATACATAAATACATACACAACCAAATTGGGTAGATATTTTGATCTTCAATAAAGTTCAAAGTTCTCTTAACTTTTCTTCTAAAATAAAATCAATAACAAATATGTTGAAATGAACCGTACTGTCTTCCATCTCTACCTTAGGTGCGTTGTGTCCAATGGGAGCATGAGGACCTCTTCTGGACTTCATAGCAAACCTCATAATTTGTCTTTTTAACAAAACAAACAACAATACAAAAACCTATAACATATGAGACACAAATACAACATGATTTAACCCAAAATGTGGAATCTTGAAACAAAAAATTGGTTAGTTTATAGAGCTACAAGTCCAAACACACACTCACCAGACTTCCATATGCCATGACAAGCACCACGTTCACGCTCGACAGAGGAGCTTCACTCGCCATCGTTCAACTTCTGGCGTAAGTAACTGTTTAATGCTGATGTAAACAAAGTAACAACACATATCACCTCTAAAGGTGTACGTGTTAGAGACATCTGTCTTGTTACCTATGGTCGAAGTGAATAATATTGGTTAAAAAGGTATAAAAAAGAGAAGTTCTTCTGGTCGTCGCATTTTGCTGCAGTAGCAGCTTCGTTTGTTGACTTCCGCCCTGGCCACGTGACTTGTTTGGTACGTCTGACGTATGACGTCGTGCTCTGCTGAAGCTGCACCTGTCTCACCTGCGCGAGCTCTGAACACAGAACCTGACCATTGGGTCCTGGGTCCACTTGAAGACCGCACTGCCCCTGGCTCCCACCCGTGGCTTCTGCTCCTGGCCCTGGCTTCACTTAAACTGTATCACTGCTCTATACTTTCTCCTCCCGCACGCATAACTGCGTCCTACGCTCAAAACAATGCGTGTGAGTGAATGAGCCAAACCCTTTTGCATCTGCCCTACAACAGAAACAACAGAAACACACAGTCCTTTAGTGCCAGGCCTGGTGTGGGAGCTGGAAACATTAGCCCTACACATCATCACGGCTATCTGCCACATCTGCACGTGTTTATGTCTGCATCTGATTGAAACGTTCGCACTTTCCTCTTCTCAGACAAAGCCCCACAGCCTGTTTGTTCAGAGACAAGACCACAACTTCCTTTGACTCACGATGCAACTGGTGAATACACCTCTGTCTGTAAGTATACCTCTACGTTTTCATATTTGACTCTCATTCCACCATCTTGTTCACTGTTATACGTTTTAAATTCATGAGAAATGTTTTTTTGGTTTAATTTCTCAAATTTAAACTTTTAAGCTGCAATGTCTTGTATTTTGTACTAAAGTGTTACATTTGGCTTTTGTAACAATGAAAGATAAATGCAAGAATGGGGCTTTTCATTGTGTGTGCATTAGTTAATGTACAATGTCTTGTCTCTGATGAGTTTACTGTGAAGGCAGGAGGTTGTCGTGAATCAGATTTTTTTTTTTACCATTTCTGATTGGTCAAACAGCGTTTTCTATCTTCAAACCTAATTCTTTGTTTTTCACTAGTGACAGTTAGTGGGTGCTGTACATGTACTGGCCCACGAGAATTCTATTATCAACAGTATGCAGACTCTTATCTTTGTGGTTCATGTAATAATTCCCCAGTTCTTTCTCTCTGTAAATGTCTTTTCTCAGTGTTTTGTTTATATTTGTGTTAGTGTTCCTTCAGGGTTTATAGTGCAAGTTTTCACATCACAGAGCGATGTAGTGCATTTGCAAGCAGTAATGCAAACCTTAGTTCATCCCCTGACCAAAATAAGTTTGACACCCCTGATCAAAATTAATTTAAAAGGCTAAAAGTACAGACGTTAGATTGACTCCCAACAAGGATCTGTGTAAAGTTATACTCTATTCTTGTCACTTTATAGTCTTACTAATTGCCTGTCTATATAGAACATTTGACTTAAACTTGGCTTCCTAATTTTCAAACCACCAAATAATGCTTTCAAAAATAATAAAAAATAACTCTCAGCACAATTCACTCACTGTGCTTCCTTGTATTCATGCTTCTCTTTCCTATCTTTGGATCATATTTTTCAGAAAGTAAGAAGAGACTGCTCTCACTCAGCCCAAGTATCAAAGTGATGCAAACATAGATCTCTAAAAACAGGAAGTGGTCTGATTTCATTCACAAGACTCTCTCTGCCGTGACAAACAAAATGTAGTATTTACGTGGGGTACATAACTTTTTATCTGAAATACCTCTATTCTATACTCTATTGATGGGAAAGGCAAACAAAATGCTGCTTTTACTAACAATACTCCTGGTTGGTATTTCTTATTCTCATGATGTCTGTAGTTGCGATTTAAAAACCCTGTTATTATGTATTCTGATACCCGGGCAGCCCAGACGATTAGGTTGCCTTAGGTGTGGTGACAGTTTTAAGCCAGTATTGGGAAATGTCATTGCTGTTACATTCCTGTCTATTATTGTATGATCCTCTGCTGCCTCTAGCTACGAAATGCAAGGGTCACATGTTGTCAACAGAGAGACATTACTGAGGTGTCCATATGCAACTCTTCTTTTCAGTGTTGGGTAAAAATAGACGTTCGATTGTTTGCGAGTGGAAGAAAGCTGCGTTGTTGGAGTAGGAAAAGAAGAAGCGAGCAACAATAGAAGGGGGAGGAGAGACGAGACGCAGACTAAACTACAGGAGGTAGAACCAGTGGGACAAGTTGTAGACATTGTGTACACTGCATCATGTAAAGTAGATGGAGCTCTGGGCGACCGAGGGAGCAGCTGACAACTTTAGTAGGAAGCTATAAACACGACATTACATATGACTTTACAAAGGTAAGATTTTACACACAGGGGTTTTGTTTATCCTCGCGTCGCTGTCGTGCTTATTTTTGTGAGCAATTTAGTTCCTGAGGTGAGATGACCAGCCCAGATTGTGCAGGCGGGACAACCGGTGCGTGTGAGTCGATGCGTAAACATTTGAATTCGAAATATTAGTCTTGTGATCAAACTGATTTATCTATACATCCTCAATTATTCATTTTGGCTCTATGATCTTTACAATCTTTAGTTTGTCGCTTGCTTTGTCATTGGTCCGCCTCTCTTAATTGCCATATTTTCCCCATTTCTTTAGTTTTGTGAATGAATGTTTTTATATGGACATTTGAGATGAAAAAATCTAAACAAAAGCAGTGTAATTGTATATTGATTATGCAAAATACACAAACAGTCAACGTCCAAAATAGAAGTGGGAAAAAGTAAAAAAAAAAAAAAAACTTGTGTAATCCCACCCCTACTTACTATTCTGATTTTACAAAATAAATAATATCTTCCCATTTGCAACCTAGCACTTGGAAGTTTTTAACATGCTTCACAAACATATTTATCAGAAAAAATGACTTTGTATCTTTTTAAAACTCGAATATTGTTTGACATTTTTGAAGTTCCTCGTCCAATTTATTCATTTTTTTTACTCCACTGACAGTAAAACAAAAGCTTTTTAATGTGTGTGGACCTTTTTAAATTGTCAAAAAAATAATCCTCTTAAATTATATTTTGTTTCCCTTTCAATAAGCATATTCTGGATGTGTGCAGCTGTTTATTTCTAGCTCTAAATAGAATTTTTGTGTTTGCAAATCAATCAGGTCATGAATCTTGATTATTTTTGACAGAATGTGAATAATGGGTTTGTATGATTTCTGTATCCGGCGTTATTGATGATTCTTATGGCCTTTTTTGCAGATTGACGAGTAGATTTAGCGTGGTTTTGTAGATGTTGCCCCAGATCTCAGCACAGTAACTAAAATATGGTGAAATTAGTGAATAGTTGATTCTACTATAGAGAAAATATTGTCCAGTTTTTGATGCTCTGTGTACGATGAGTGGATTGCCGTCGGGGGAGTTTTTCTAGTTTTTGTTCCCGGTTTTGCTGACGCCGGCTGACAGGCACTCTTGAGTATGTCACTTATGTAAACATACTTTTATGATCCGAAGGCTCAACGGCGTACATTTTTTTTGGTAACCTGTTTTGTGAATGGACTCATGGAGGGAATGTGGAGAATGCATCAACATCAACGTGTAAGGAATGGATATAAATGACAGGGTTTTTTGTCTTCTGGTTTCTACTGAGTGTAATGTATATTTATTTAGTCGAGGCAGGGTTTCATAAATCAAGTGCCACTAAAAATTTTACCGGACTTATTATTAAAGTTAGAAAAAAACAGGCTAACGTAAAGGTGTAGTTTTGATCAAGATTCAAATTCTACTTCTGAATCTTGATTTGACTGAAAATAAAATTATATACAACTTGATGATATCCATGAGGAAAACCACTCTCTACAAAAAATCTCTACAACAATAACAAACAGCAGTGAAATCACTAGAATTTAACAAAAATTACTATTACACAATACCATACTCATGAGATCGATGAGAATGTATAAGCTGATGCATTTTGAAAAACAGAAGTGCTAAATTTAACAAACGACGACGAAATTGCAACCTTGGTTTGGAGGCCACTGAACGATTTGTGTTGTTTGCAGATCATGAAGGCTGTATTCTGAAGACACGTGGACTATGGATTTTCTATTACCTACTGGGAGAGAGGGCATTCAGGCTGGAGCTCCCTGCACTGTGCGTCCAGCCAACACTTTCTCATACAGCGAAGCCTGGAGACCTCTCAGACCCTCTCGCTATCAGTGGGAAGAGGAGATACCTGGAGCCGACTCGAGGCCTCATTATCATTCCAGTGATGTCAGAGGCCAATGCTTTACAAGAGAGATATCACCCATCAAACTGAACCAAAATGACATGAGAAACTATAGATCTGACTATGACCAAACAAGGAATTCTGGAAGACCGGGTAGAACTGAGTGGAGGAGGTTGAATTTGTCAAGTAGGAGCAAAAGTTTGGACTGTAGAAGTGACACCAAAAGCTATGAGCCACCTCTGACTATTAGAGGGGACAAAGGAGTGGAAGAAAGCAAGGTGATGTCCAGTATACATGCCTATAACAATACCAACGGCTCAGACCCGTTTATAAGCAAAGCCAGAGGACAGTCTTTACCAATGAGATACTCTAACGCTTCGCTGGGGCCAAACGGAGGTCAAAGTATTTTACAGCGCATTGAGAAACTGTATGGATCTGTGGAGTTTGGAAACACGGAGGATTATAAAACCACAGAGCAGTATAAGGGCGCGTTCAGTGGAACCTTCCCCAGACACTTCTCATCAGGTGAACAAAGAAGGAGCACGGGGCAAAGTGGAGATTCTCTCTTGTGGACAACATCTAAAGACACTTCTACGCCAGCATTAAACAAGTTCAGGACATCAGGTTGCTGGCAGAGCCAGAATAATACCATTCATGTTGACAGAAATTCTTTCCAAAGCAGTGGTTTGGCCGATTTAGGCACAAGATCATTGGACCGGACCATGAGTAGGTCTACAATAGCGGCTAAAATCAGAGCCTCCCAAGCTGCAGAAGAAATGGACAAATCAACACAGTCAAACACTTTCTTACAAGGGATTTCGGAAGTGAGCACAACAGCTGACAGAGGTGAGAGACTGGATTTTATGGATCGTAAAAACTGGAGCAGAGCCACAGTAAAGGAAAAGAACCAAGGGAAAACAGAGGACAAATACCAACAGGCAAGGACAACAAAGGACAATCCAGGTGACGAAGTCTTTGAGTTCAACACTTCTGAAAGGAGTAAGAACAAGCCCATTGCTGCAGGCGTGCGGAATAAAATTAACCAGTTTGAAGCCTTGACTCAGCGCGCTCATTCCAGTTCTCCAAGAAGGGCGTATTCAGTGCCAGAACACCTCAGCAAAACTTGTAGTGGGGTGCAGAGAAGTAGTTCAGCAAAGGCCCTCAGGACGTTCAAATGGGGAGGGATGAGAGAAGAGCACGAACTGAGCCATGGAACAGCTGATATCAAGACATTTGGGTCCAAGGAAGAGACCAGACAAGACCCAACGGCAAAGCCAAAGCTTGATACATGGAGTTTCTATGAAGATAAGACCACCTTTAAGAGATTTCCTGCGAAGGAAGTACTGCTTACTAAAGACTCTATAAAGAATTTTGATGAACATTCCAAAAACACAACCAAACTGTATCTTCCTGTGATGAAGGACACCCCTCCAATTACTAATGAGACAGATTTCCTAAAAGGTTTGTTGAAGTTAAATGAAGGCAATGCCAGTTCTGGTTCTGGCATTTCTACTCCAAGTAGTAGCGACAATGAAGAAACCCCTACAAACACCCCGGGTACCTCACCCCTTCTCTCCCCCATAACTCCCCCTCAAAACAATCCCCTCTCACTGTCAAACACACAATCGATGGATATTTCGCCTCCGCTCACCAGCAACCTGCCTGATATAGTGTCCAAGGATAACTTGAATGGGAAAAAGCGGATTCTGGATCTCAATGCCTGGTTGGATGGTTTGAAACCAGAAATAAAAGTTTGGGAGGATGAAGGAGAGGATGACGATGATAGCACACAGAGAGACGAAGATTCAAACTACGATTCGGATTCAGGAGAATCTTCAGTCACCGTCACCAGCGTCGTGAGCAACAAGAGTTTCTCAGTCAGGTGAGTGTTGCAATGTGAAATAATACGAGGACTAGTCGACATTTGGGTGGAGAATATTTCAAAGATGAGAAATAGGTGCTAAAATGTCAAATTAGTTTCAAAACCTTCAGTTCTAGGTTCAGGTTTAGTTCTTGTTGCCTTTTTTGGACAACTACCATACTTTTTTTTTTGTACAGAACTATAGGGGACTTTTTGTATCTCCTCTTCTGGAGCTGGTACGATTGCTAAAACGATTGCTCAGCACATAATCCATCACCTAAACACATAAAACAGGGTAGATTTTTTTTTTTAAACAAACAAATTAGATTTCATCTTTGGACCTACTGAGGCATAGTAGATTATCTTTGACTTCTTCATTAACGTTCGTCAAGTAGAATGTATTATTTTATTTTTTTCCATTCTACTCTCCAACTGTTGCTGCTATGTGCGGAAACACCTCATGTTTCCTTAATTCATATGTAATATTTCCACACTGATGTTACATGAACCTCTCTTGCAACGTGACTGCAACCACAAATGGTTCTGTCCAGTCCCAACTAGTTCATCCACTGAGAACTGGTGAGTTCAGTTCAGACTAGTCTACATTTTACGTTGGCATACTTCCCACTGTAGAGACCTTCCATTGCGTCTCTAAACTTGCCTGGTAAGCATTTGGATTGTGCTGTCTTCGCGATCTCTGTGATAAAAACCTGTTTGCGTAGATTCATGCGTGTGTACTATTTAATCCAACAAACTATTGTTTCAGTTCTTATGATTACTGTTGATCTTCATAACCCTAAGTTTGAAATACAATACAAAAAAGAAAATATTGTTGATTGACAATGGGGTTTAATTTTTTTATCCCCACAGAAAGATACTCGTAAAAGTAAATGTTTCAGCCGTTTTAGTCACAAAAAAATGACTTGCCTGAGCAAGGGTACATTTTTCCAACCTAACTTTTCCATCTGTTAATGGTGACAATACAACATAACTCTTGAACCAACCTGCTGGTGTTTGTTGCTAGCTATATTAGATTATTATGTAGTTCCACCTCTGCAGTTTTAGAAGCAAGTTTTTGAGACATTTATATTCCTGTAAATACCAGGTTTGATGTGGCCTTTTTGCCTTAGTCTTGCAGATCTGTGTAACTTCGCTGGTGAAGTGTATGACTCGGAGAACGACAGCGATGAGTGGCAGTCGACGGGCCGGCGCTCTGTCTCTTTGAGCTCGGACATCTCTGGCTTTTCTTATGTGTCTGTGCTGCCCACCGAGGAGCTGGACAAACTCATACAAGACGTCAAGAGCATTGGAGACAACAACCTGCAGGTAACCACCAAAAGAACCCAGTCGTAGGGAAACGGAATAAGTAGCGGAGAGGTAAGAACTCTTTTTAGGATCAGAATTATTTTCATTGCCATTGGAAGTAAGAGGAAGTCACAAACTAAGTAATGAAAAAGTAAAAAATAGAACCTGGAACTGAACAGAAATGTTGCTATTTATAAACAGTTTATTTATTCGTCACCATCTCTTTTTGAAAAGCATTCAGAAATACTATTGTACAATACATTCATAAAACATAATAAATATTATTTAGAGCAATCAAACTGTATCCCCTTTCATGAAACCTCACCCATATTTTGACTAATTTCTTTTGACCGCTTAAAGGAATAGCTGCCAATTTTCATGTAAAACATACAACATGAAAATTAAGTTGTTTTACTGCTTTATAAGAGGTGTTTCTTTTTTTGTGATATGAATGTGTTTTTTGTAGGACTATGAGGATGTGCGCGTGGTTGTTCTGCACAAAGACATCGGTGTGGGACTGGGCTTCAGTTTGGCTGGAGGAGTGGATCAGAACAAACCAGTTACTGTAAGCTCTAGTCTTATAAATAACAACCATCTAATAAAGCTGTCACTGTTGACCATTTATAGACAAAGTCCATTGATATTTGGTTCTATACTGATTTTAAATAAACTGGTGTGCTGTCAGAGGGGAGGCTTTACTTTGACACTATTTAAATCCAAATGAATCTGTGATTAGTCAGATTTTATGTGTCTCACTTTCTGTGAGGATAAAAGGGACAGGTAAAATAATGTCACTTTATAATACTTTCATGCATCACATGTTGAATTTATTTTATAATTGAACATGTGATGTATACAGTCAAAAATATAAAAACTAGTACATTTATATATGTTTATGCATAGGGACTGCAGATGTAAATTAGCCTCAGGCTAACTCTAGTACAATGCATCAAATGGCAACATTTATGTTATAATTGTACATGGTCCCTTTTAAATAAATAAATAAATAAACTAAAAAAAATTGTATTCTGCAGCAGCTAAAGCTCTGTTGCAAGGCATAAAACTTCTTCATAGCAAAATCTCTAATAAATAATACAACAAATTATCGAATACGTAAATTAGTCAACAACTATTTCAATAATGAATTGGTTGCAATTAGTCAATTTATGTTTCTACAGCCCTTTAATTGAAACAACTGAAAGTACTATAATTTTATGAATGTTTTGTATTTTGAGTTTCCTTTCTTGTTTTTTCTACACATATATGATATTTGCTCTTGGTTCACAGGTCCACAAAGTCTTTCACTCCGGTGTGGCGGCTCAGGAAGCCTCCATAAAGGAAGGGGACCAGGTTTTGTCTATAAATGGGAGTGCGCTGAGCGGCTGTACCCACTGGGAGGCGCTGCGGGTGCTGCGGCGGGCTAAGGGCCGAGAGATGGGGGTGGTGGTGCTGAAGAAGCCCGATGTGAGAGTCCTGTCCAAAGAAAAGGCCTCAGCCCCAGATTTGACCCCACCGCAGATCAGTGAGACCGGTGAGAGCACTTCACCACATTCTATTATTTACCACATTATACCAAAGTAAATGTTGAAACATGCACTTGAAGGCTTCATGAAAGAATAATGATTAATCAATCAGTTTAATCAGTTTTTACCATCTCACATTTTTATATAATAAATACCTTGATGTCTGAAAATGTCCAAAATTAGGTTGTTCAATATTGCATTTTATTTTTAGATTAATCCCAGGTTTGTTTGTGAATGATACATTTTGTTTGCCCCACAGAAATTCTGGTAAAAATGTAACAAATCAAACCACAACGTGTCCATCTTATTGTAAAATGTTATATGTTGCATACCTTAAGAAAGAGTTGACACTATGGACTGAAAGAGGACTGTTTCAGCTGGAGGAAAAGTAGATTTTAAGTCAGACGCCAAACAATTCATGATAGAACCAAACTGTTGGACTAACCGAACAATCGAGGGAAAGTCCTTGAGCTTTGTCTGATGTCTTTGTCTGGGGTCAGGTCAGCGCGTCACTGTGAGTTTGGAGAAGAGCAACAGAGACCTGGGTTTCAGCCTGGAGGGCGGCGTCGGCTCCAGTCTCGGCAACAAACCACTGTCTGTTCAGAAGATCTTCCAAGGTGAGAAATCTGCACTACGGTTCTCAAACTATGGCGCATGTACCATTTATGTTGAGTAAGCGTCTGATTTTATTAATTTATTTGACAGGGACGTTATACATCAAATGACCAGACATGACTAATACCCAATTTTAATCCCTGTGGGAAAAGGCAAAAGTGACAGCAGGTTTACAGTGTTAATAAATAAAATGGCCTTATTAATAGTGTTTCATTTCACATGTTCAAATACAGGTGAAATGGAACACTCTGGAGGGGTATGGACTTGATGTCTGCTTTCACTTACACCATACAAATAAAAATCCACTTTATTGATAACATCACACTGTAAAGAGTTGAATCATTACTCCGTTTTGAATTTCATCTGTTTCTGCTTTATTGATCAGGTGGTCCATTTGAGAAGGTGCTCCCGGGTGATGAAGTTCTGGAGGTGAACGGTGTGAGTGTGGTGGGCATGCGGCGTCTGGAGGCCTGGACTCTGATCCGCAAACTGCCCCCTGGTCCAGTCAGTGTGGTGCTGCGGCGAAACCCTCACATGACATAAGGAGGCGGACTAGGGTTTCGTTCATGCTAACGCGAGGCCCATACCTTGCATTTGATTGTAACGCTCAGGTCCAGGTTGATTATCTCTGCAAAAAAAAACACTATCTAAGCAGTTCTTTGTCCGATACTAATTACGTGTAAAATTGTAATAATCTAAAGAAAATGTGTGTTATTTTTTTTCTGCAAAGAAGCGGCGGAGTTGCGGTAAAGCACTTTTAACGCCAAAACGTAATAAACGCCATGAAACGCTACCTCAATGTTACACTCAAGAGAATGCACTGATGATGTAACTCACTTGTGCTCTAACTGTATTGAAATCTCTCGCAGCCTCTTTCGCCAACAATGTGACTTTTGTATGTGAACAATTCTATTATACTGTTGCTGTACATATCTGTAAATTTCAGAGCATTTATTGATTTCTATTAAAATACTAAAACAGTTTTGTTCCACAAGCACCAGAATTATGTGTCATTTGTCACTCTTACGTATTTCATGATATCATATGCATTAAAGCTGAGTATCCTAACTTTGAAACTGTCATGTCCATGTAACAAGGGTTTTCTAATGAGATAAGGACAGAATGTTGTGGTGGGTTGATTTTGTTTTAGATTTTATTTAACACATACAGTGGGGCAAAAAAGTATTTCGTCAGCCACCGATGCAAGTTCTCCCACTTAAGATAATGGTCTTTAATTTTCATCATAGGTACACTTCAACTGTGAGAGACAGAATGTGAAAAAAAAAATCCAGGAATTCACATTGTAGGATTTTTAAAGAATTTATTTGTAAATTATGGTGGAAAATAAGTATTTGGTCAATAACTAAAATTCAAGTCAATGGAAGGAGGTTTTGGCTCAAAATCTCACGATACATGGTCCCATTCATTCTTTCCTTAGCACGGATCAGTCGTCCTGTCCCCTTAGCATGATGTTTCCACCCCCATGTTTCACAGTAGGTATGGTGTGCAACTCAGTATTCTTCTTCCTCCAAACACGACGAGTTAATACCAAAAAGTTCTACTTTGGTTTCATCTGACCACATGACATTCTCCCAATCCTCAGCGGTTTCATCCATGTGCTCTCTTGCAAACTTCAGACGGGCCTGGGCGTGCACTGGCTTCATTATTTTAAGTGGGAAAACTTGCACAATCGGTGGCTGACTAAATACTTTTGTGCCCCACTGTATATTCACAAAACCAAAGAAAGTTATATACGCCAGCTTATCTTATCTCCTAATATTGCTCAATGTTTTCCCAATGGCAGTGATCTAATTATAATAAACATTTGGCCATTCCTTTAGCTGGTGTAGTGGTGATACTTATCAGCACTCAAGTTAAAGTAATAGAGAAAATGAAAATACTCCAGACCCATCGCTGTTAAGGGCTTTGCATAACGCCCTGGTATTACATCAAATTGTTCCATAGTGTATGTAAGACTAATAACTAAGCCTCTCAACGCAGCAAACAGTCATTCTTCTCCACGATTATCTTTATGGTCTTATGGCCCTGACACGGCGCCTCCAATGTCCAGCTCTGTGTCAGCCAATCCCTCGGAAGCAGAGGACAATAAACGTAGAGAGAATGAGCTGTGGTCGAGGAGCGGACATCACAGAGACATCCCTGGATAGCAGCACCATGCCCCAGCCCCAATTCATGAGAGCCAGGAGTGCTCTGCTGAGAGAGTGTATGGCCGAGTTCCTGGGGACTTTTGTTTTGCTGGTAAGAACCTCACACCTCAATTACATGCATGGATTCTTCTCTTCCTGTTCATAACTACTGGTCAAGTGAATCAGCTAAAGGTGAATGAGAATTTCTTGTAAACGGCACCGGATACACAATTTGTTTCAGAGCCCTGGGCCAAACAGAATCAGTGCTGGGAAGTGCTGTCCATACTGCTTTTGAGTGCCCAAAACTACAGCAGGGGGGCTAGCATGATTGTTTACTTATTCATGAATAAAACGTCTTGTTTTTTCCGACTTGTAGAAGTAATATTTTTGCCTGAAAATCAGACCAGTACTTGCTGTTTTTTCCTTTAAGAAAACATGATATGTGTTTGCTTACTGAAAGAACCCTGCAAGTCACTATTTGACGTTTGGGCACTATTTCTAGTCACTATTTTGTCTGGAAAGTTGGTGTGACAGAGGCCATAAATGGCCAGGAAGGTTCCTCCTTCCTCCTCCGTCGAGCAAAGACGTGTCTTAGTCCGCTCCTGCTTCTGAACGGCTTGCTATCTCCTGTTTTTGTCTTTTTTCCTGGAGCTTTGCCACAGACAACTCTAACAGAATGGAAATGATTAATTGGTCCCTCAACGCAATTGATTCTATCTTTTCAACTCGTAAGCGTGGGTCTGGAGAGCCCGTGTGTCCGGACGGGACTTCACCAGCGGGGTATACACTTGACAGCTGGAACAAGTGGCAGCCCCTCTGTCTGTCGACCCTGTCCATTGAAGATTCGGAAGACGTATATATCTTTGGCATTTTGGTGGCGGGAATCCTCCTGTTTGGGTTTGGAGCGATCCTCTTCTACCACAAATTCGGAGGCATGGCAGTTCGCAAGATTCACGACCTGCTGGCCGATAAAATTGATGGGATGTACAAGGAGCTTAGCCGTGTCGTGGTTGAGAGTGCCGTGTCTGGACAACGGAGAGTGGTGTTGGTGGAACAGTTGATCAAAGACCTCGCAGCTCGTTCACTTGATGGACATAAGACCTTAGAATTGAGATTGAATGACATTGTTTGTCAGGCTTGATCTCTCTGACCCGGCTTGGATTTGCCCCTGTGTACGGAGGTCTGAGGGCACCGGAATTCGGTTTAATTGGAATTAATAGAATATCTGCCTGATTTTGACTGCGACATTGCAGGCGATGTGTTTTTCTCCTCCTGTGGCTTCTCTCTCCACTCTTATCTCACATTCCTCAGCCAAGGCCATAAACAAGGTCCCACAATCTACAACAACTCACACTATTTCAGTCTTCAGCAAGGATCCCCCACCCCCGCCTCCCTCTACCTATCCATCTTGCTCCCTCCCTCCCCTCCATTCCTTATTGTTTTCCTACTCACCCCCTCCCTGATCCCGCCCCCCTCTGACAGCTACATTGGGCCGGCCGAAGAGGTGCTCTTCCCGAGAAAAAAATCCGTGGTTTATAAAAAGCACAATGTGTCTATCCAATTGTTTGTGAACTGTATGTTATTGCTCTCTGCTGTTTCTTGCTGCACACAGCGCCGCAAATGGCGAAGTGGCACGCTCTCTGCCAAAACAATTTCCAAGTGATAACTTTGTTACTCACGTGGCAATAAAAATGATTCTGATTCTGATTCTGAAATACATGCATGTGAAAACTAGTGATAGAATAAACTTGTTTTGAGAGGTACAGTAGATTGGATTTTATTACTGTGGGATTTTCTATATTTGATTTGTATTATAGTTTTGGTAGCTTATCGGCCTTTGGCTGGTGTTGCCGCTCTCTTGAAATACCCAATGCGCAGGGACGGATATTTTTGGGAAAGAAAAACTATTTGAGTGGGTTTGATCACTCAGCCGGATCAGGGGCATATTTCTCCCCATGCCTCACTTCATTCACCTATGTTTTAGATGATCAGTGATGACAAACTTTTTACTAAAACAAAACAGATTTGGCCCTCAGCCCTTTGATTCATTTCAGCCCTCAGAGTGAATCTGTGTGGGCACCTCACTTCAGAAAAAGTTATGGGACAGACAACCACTGTAATGAGTGGGTGCAATTCAGAACTACCTGCCTGTTACAGCATCAGAGTTGGGACTTCACTCTTTTGAAAATCTAATTGATGACTGATAAAAAGTATAATCTATGGGCATGTGTTTGATATCACACTGTTTAGAAACAGATCCTGTTTTATGAACTTATCTATTTAAATAATGTCATATAGTTTATTGCTGTTGATAAAGAAGACAACTGAAATCTATCAGTCACATTTGTGATAAGTGAGTAATATCCATGTGTGGTGTTGTCAGCTCTTTGGCTGCTCTGCGGCTGCTCAGGTGAAGACCAGTCGAGAAACGAAGGGACAATTTCTCTCCACAAACATGGCCTTCTCTGTGGGTGTCATGTCGGCCATGTACCTCACCAAAGGAATATCGGGTAACGATGATCAGCAGAAGGGTGTAATAACTGTTGACCTGAGGATTGTATAATGTTTGCACAGGAGCCCATCTGAACCCTGCTGTGAGCCTGAGCTTCTGTGTGGTGGGACAGGTGCGCTGGAGTCGCCTGCTGCCGTACTCCCTGTCCCAGATCCTGGGGGCTTACACAGCCTCAGCCATGGTCTATCTCGTTTACTACGGTTTGTTCTGCAGACTCCTGTACCACTGTTTATCATCTGTGGTTATTATACCACAAACTACTCTTACTGTATGTTATTTACTGGTCATTCACTATAGTTTTGTCTTATTTTAGACTTTGTTATTATTATTTTTGTCTTTTAACAGCCATTTTAAGCTTTGGCATGCTTGGCTTTATTGTACTGTATATGTATAGTTTTCGACTTTCATATGATAGATCCACAGAGCCAAATTTCTAGGTGGTATATAACTATATGTTTCAAAGTGCATGTCTTGTACTTTCTTAGATGCAATTATGGATTTCAGTGGAGGAGTGCTCACAGTTTATGGGCCAAACGAGACAGCTTCTATATTTGCCACTTATCCATCCCAGTACTTGACGCTGAGCAGAAGCTTTCTTGACCAGGTCAGAACACTGGCTTTGATCTAAACTGAATAACATTGTCACTGTTCATTGCATATAAACATTCTGTCTCATCAGGTTGTTGGCACTGGCATGCTGCTGCTGTGTATCCTGAGTCTGGGTGAAAAGCGGAACACCCCTGCACCAGAAAAGCTCATTCCTGCCATCGTGGCTGTTATTGTTCTGGGTATATCCATGTCGATGTCTGCCAACTGCGGGGCAGCCATAAACCCGGCCAGAGACCTGGGGCCTCGTCTCTTCACTCTGACAGCGGGGTGGGGAACTGAGGTCTTCACGTGAGTCTCTTATCTTCATGTTACACAAGCATTTGACAATGCTTTGAAAATGTATCTTTTTGTTTTTGATGCCTTTTTTTCTAACAGTTGTTACAACTACTGGTTCTGGGTGCCCATAGTCGCGCCTCTGATTGGAGCAGTTATCGGTACACTGATTTATCTGGTGTTTATTGAATGGCAGCTTCCAGAACCAGAGGAGCCTTGCACTGACAGCTCAAGTGTCAAACCCAATAGTTACACGTGGGACAGTACAGAGCAGAAGGAGGCCCACTTCTGAGTGTTACTACCATTCTATCACCTGTGCTTCTGTGCTAAGCACGTCTCAGACAATTGTGTCTAATTTTGATTTCCAAAATAAGTAAATGTGCAGTATGCAGCAGGCCTGTTACCCTGCTGACAGTGACTTTCTCAACACCTGCAGATTCTTCTCTGTGAGGGAGAGTAAATCTCTCTCTGCGTTTCCTCCCAAGATTTTCTTTTTTAGTTCTTGAGAGAGTATTTTTAATTGCAGGGACAGAGGAGTTCCTGAGACAGCGGCCATTCACTTCTTTCGGGTTATTGATAGATAATCTGCTTCTGTCTTACTGATTAGCAACTGTTTCATTGCTTTTCTATTGGTGATGACACCTGCAGGGTGGTTATGGGTCACATGACTCATCAGTTTATGGCACTATGTGTGGATAACAAAGTTGTTATGAACAATATTGTTGACACACACTGTGTCATGTAAGAAGGATTATTTATCAATTATTAAGTGAAATACTGTCTGATTGCCCAATAGTAAATTACATCTGTGCTCCTACCTCTTGTTTTGTATAATGTATATCTAATTATCTTCTAAGCACTGATTTCTTGTATCTGTTTTTACAAAATAATGTGTAAATGACCTCATGTTTACACTGTGATGACATTGTGATCATTCTGTAGATTCACATTAAACCATGTGGTGGATGTTCTGATTCTGTGAAGGTCAAGTGTCCTCTGCTCCTCTTCAGTGTGATTTCTTTGATTGCTTTGCACTTTCTAACCATAGACTGTAAAGATTCAGCCAGGTGTGTTCTTCAAAGGAGACACATTACATTTGCATTATTTAGTATTTAACTACACCACACACATCACATTCTAAAAATTGTTCAATAAAGTTTTAAAATTGATTGAAAAGCAACTTTGAGTACGCTCTCAGACCTCCTGAAAGCCATAAAAGCAAATAGTTGGAGAGGTCTCAATTTCCTACAATGAATAAAAGATAAGAACATATTTATTCAAAAATACATGCAAATGTGCATTACTGTCAGTAATGAGATCAACCTGTCTATTAATCAAAATGTAATATTTACTTAATTTATTATCTACAAGCAGCGCTTGAACAGAGCCGTATGCAAATTAGCCAAACAGAACAGATCATATACATGATCATACATGAGATACGTAGCCGATATTCATACGTATTGACCATTTGGATATTTTGAAAGTTCCGGATTCTACCCATCGCCGTGGCTACAGAAACCGTTCTACAGAATCCTATTTATGCTAATGCATAGAGGTTACCATAGTAATCTCTGATGACATAACCACATTCTATCTTGAAGCAGTCATGGCTTAGAAGTTCAACAAAAATCGGAGGAAGAGATAGAACAACTAGATTTAAGCGTAGCTATTAGACACGGACGGCTAACAAACAAATGGAAGAGAGATTTAGATGGGCTGAAGACTGAGAACCAGCAGCTGTGCGCTTCGTTAGGGGAGAAAAGATGCAGGAAGCGGGTACGTGCAAAGAGAAGTGTGGAGATCCAGGTGGGACCCATCGAGTGCATAGACGTGGCTGTACAAGTGGGGTCTGAAGTTTGGGAGACAGGCACACAAGTCCAATCAGAGGGAACATCTGCAGATAAAAGTGTACAAACGGACATCTCGTTTGTAGAGATGGGAACTCAGACGGATGTTTCAGGGATGTTTCCGGCTGGACAGAGGTCAGAAGAACACGCTGCTTCAGACCCCCTGCAGGCACATGGAAGTGACTTGATGGAGTCCAGCGAAGTCAATGAAGTCGAAGTGGAAAATGAAGGAGGCTTCTGGTCAACTTTCAAATCCAGGGCAAAGAAAGTGGTCACAGCAAGTTTGTGGGTTGTGCCTGCTGTGGCTATTGGGTATGGTATATACTCTCTCACCCGTTAAGGGGAGAGCCACTCACCGACCTTGTCCCGTTTAAGGGTCAAGGCTGTAGCGCGTGTGTGTGTGTGTGTGTGTGTGTGTGTGTGTGTGTGTGTGTGTGTGTGTGTGTGTGTGTGTGTGTGTGTGTGTGTGTGTGTGTGTGTGTGTGTGTGTGTGTGTGTGTGTGTGTGTGTGTATGAGTGAGTGGTTTCAGGGATGGCCACCCTGTGCATTTGCCATATAGACACATCTCTGTCAGTTAATGTTCACAAATGGGTCATAAGACGTATCTGGGATCACCATGTGACAGAGTTGGGTCCATGGAGCATATGTACAGAGGGGTCAGCCCGAAACGCTACGACTGTACGAATAATTTCTTTAGGATTTATTCATACAGTCGTGTGTGAATGTGTTTTACGAGCTTGGGACAACACTTACACAATAACGAGCATGATTCCTTTTCTCCCGTCACATTTTACACACTGGAAGTATTAGAGGTAATGTGTATTACAAGTTTTAAATATAATTTAAAAATGCAAAGATGCTAAAATAAAATTTGGCTCATCTGTATTGTAAAATGAATTTGAAGGAAACTTGTACCATGTGTTATTTCCTTGAATACTTTCAAAGTGTATGTGTGAGGGGAGCACAGGGGAACATGACTGTTGTGTCGTTGTATGGTCGTAGAGTTTGTGTGTTGTGTCTCATAGAAATGATCTATGGTGATCGGTTCTTCACTGAACACTCTTTCCTGGACCATGAACGAGGACAGTTTGTGATACTGACTTCGACTGTAATCTGTTCATTGCTTTTCCATTGTCTGTTTCATGACGTGATGATGGGATGCCTGAACCCGGCCCTCATCCATCCGCACCTACAAACCACCCTGCCCAGCCCGACTCGTGGGCTACACACCTCGTCGCCTGGGAGCTATTTTTGGAATAAACAATAAAAAATTATTTAAGTGGATTGAAGTACATTGGATTTTTTTTTCTCAACGTTACGCCAACTGAATATCATAGTTGTCATTTTTTGTTCCTATGCCTGTTCTCCTGTGACTGTTGGTTGTTCTGTTGCCTGCCCCGCCCTGTTGTGTTTCACCTGTGTCATAAATTCCCTGTGCTCTTTCCCTCTTGTTGTCTGTCCAGTGAATGTTTGTTCAGTGGTTCTTGCCTTCGTCCTCAGTTACTGTGTTTTTACAGTTTTGATTTTTCTTTATTTCTACAGAATTGGTTCTAAGACTGATATTACACTCAGACAAAATCACTCATATTCAGTCAGAGACTTTTTTGGCTCCATCAGCTAAAAGGTTCCGGTCCCCTGCTTTAGAGAATTAAAGATACAGTTAGCGATGTTGTTAGCTTAGCCGTAGCACCAACTCGGAAACGGTCAGCACTAGATCATATACGGAATCGGGATGGAAGCGGAAGTAAATAATAACAACAATACCTATTCATGCCTAAACTTAACCAGCCATTCCCATAAAATAACCCCAACCCAGCCTTAACCCTAACTTTAACCACCTTACTCAGACGTCACCACTTAAGACCGTATTAGTCTAAAACTAATTTGAAAGTAGGATTTTTACTTCCGGTTTCGTCTCGATTCCGTATATGATCTAGTACCTGCCACTCCCGTATTCGTCCCGGAAACCGGATTCGTCCGGAAGTTCAGTTTGATCCAATGAGCAAACGCAGCAGTAGATTACGTCACGGAATCTGGACGGAAGCGGAAGTAAATATAAAAAACTACCTATTCATGCCTAAACTTAACCAGCCATTCCCATAAAATAACCCCAACCCAGCCTTAACCCTAAACTTAACCATCTTAATCAGACGCCTAAACTTAACCAGTCTCCACTTAAGGACATGTTAAACTTTTTGACATGCGCAAACTGAACTTCCGGACGAATCCGGTTTCCGGGACGAATACGGGAGTGACAGTGCCGACCAACTGGAAACCACACCCCCCTCCCCTCTCCTCTCCACCAGACCAAACATCCAGCATTTTCTATTCTTTGTCACAACAGGGAGAGTGGGTGGTGGGTGGGTCGGAGAGTGTTTGGGCCTGTGTTGTCACAATGTGTGTGCGTGTGTTTAGTGTATGTTGTCTGTCTTATACCATTGGTGGTAGTATCATATAAATGCTTGTAATGTGCCGTTGTATGTTTAAGAAATCTACTGCATGCTATTGTTAGCACTTGGTCTGATGGGGTTGGAACCTAATAAGCACTTGCTTCATCCAACTCCTTTTCGAACCAGGTACGGGTTAATTTTCTGTTGTATTGATAAATGTAAAAATATGTATTGTGCAGGTTCGAAATAAATAAATGAATAAAAATATACGTGAAATTGGCCTTTTCTGTCCAGCCCTTTTAGTTTTTAGAAAATAATCCGATAACTCGTGAGTAACAGGAAGAGGGTGAAGGGGGTAAACGCATCCCATTGGGTTTTTTTTTTTATCGGCCGCTCCAAAGTATTTGTTATATTATTTTTTGGAGACTACAGGCATCTGGTCAATTCCAATACTATTTGAAAACACATGATTACTTGACTACTTTTAGGGTTTAGGGACCTTTTCCCACAAAATCTAAAAAAATGCATCTGGAAAAAATCACTGACTGAATCTTAAAGATTCCATTATGTCATCACTGACGTACGGTGAGGTTGGGGATTGGTGAGGCACTGACTTGATTTATATCAAATAAATCAAAAGGACCTACAGAGCGGCTTATTCACAATTTCTTTGGCTACAGCAGAATATGTTTCATGCCCACATTGTTTGCTCATACAAAACGCAAAAGTACGTCAAAAGCACATTGTGTGTTATGGCCCTTACCTTATGAACAGCACAGACCACTTCAGTTCAGACCAGCATGGGCGTCGGACTGGGGGGGTAAAGGGTACCGAGTACCCAGGGCCCAAGGCGGGGAGGGGCCCTCTAAAGTGTGTCTTTATATTTATATGTATTAGGCATTATGGTATATTCATATTATTACAATTTGAATGAAAGGGGCCCTGTATAAAAATAACCAACGTTTTAACCTCAGTTTTCCTCTAAAAACAAATTTGTATGCTGTATCAGGGCCCTGCCACCCCCTTACAAAAGATCAAATGGTACGACCCACATGTGCGCTTGTTGCTGTGTTGCTGCCGCTGCAGCGAGTTGACTTGTTTGACAAGCAGCGGCAGAAGCGGGAAAAATAGAAATGTCTTTTCCAAAGAAAGTAAAATCAGGATTTCAGAAAAGAAAAGAAAGACAAGACAGGGAGAAAAAGTGTAATGAGGGCAAGCAATTGCTTACTCAGTTCTTCCACATGAGAGGTGAGTATATAGAGACGTGTTAAGGCTACATCAGGAGAAAACCCAGAGACATTTGTTTCTGTATTCTAAACTCACGGAGAGCTAACAGTGTGCTGTGTACGTGGTAAAAAAAAAAACGTTATCCAGAGTGACACACACAGACGCGCAGCTGTAAAGGGAGCTCACACACACTGCTGTCCACTTCTCCTTCAAAGGCAGGCAGCAAAGAGTTATTTTCATGTACAACCCTGTACCCTATATTCCCACTATTGTCATAATCTGTCCGTCCGTGAGTCTTGCAGTCATAAGTCACGGGTCACTCACTGGCCTCTGCATTGGATCATCTGGTTATAACCATACAAATCACACGCCCCCGCACCGATTTGGAGGTTTCTGGTGACATCTAGTGGTCAAAATAATGTAAATAAGTCTAATGGTCTAAAGCAGGGGTGCTCAATACGTCGATCGCGATCTACCAGTCGATCGCAAAGGTAGTATTGGAAGATCGCATTACATATATATATATATTTTTTAATCCGTTTATGCATTTGCGTGTGGACAGAGATAACCGGAGTTTTGCGTTTTTGCACGGCACAGTTTGCCCCCAAAACAACAACAACAACAAACAAAACGTGCGACCTCTGATCACTAAAGCATGGATCATACTGCCTTAACAGCGGTTCACAGCAGCAATCCTCGCTCCACATCAGAGAGCAGCAAAGTGATCACACACGCTCGAAAACAACCAAAACAGGAGCTAAACCAGGATCAAACCAGGGCTGAGGACTGGGGTCAATGCTTGTAAACATATGTCTTCACCATGGATCTATAATAACACGTCTTCACCCTGAGTTTCTACTATGATTGTAAGTGCCGCTAAAGAACGAAAGTTACGAATGTAACTATGGTTCTATGAATCCTGGATGACCGCCAGAGGCGGTGCTTAAATGCAAATTATTTCATAAATCATGCGGTTTTGCATGTACATCAACATACATTGTAGATATAAAGAATCCTCAATATATTTAGAAATATATATATGTTTTGCATTTTTATAGTAGGTAGATCATTTTGACTTGATCATTTTATAAGTAGCTCGCATGCTGAAAAAGTGGGAGCACCCCTGGTCTAAAGGGTGAAATGAGACTTTCTGGTGTGTAAACTATTGCTTTTAAGCCAGAAATGACAACTGACAATCACAGCCCAGACCATGCCCAAATGTAAGCCCCCCTTCTTCTCCACTGGTGCCATTTTTACAGACAAATTTCAAATGTTCATGTGGGCGGAGTAAGGCTAGGCACAGGTGTTTAGTTGAAAATGGAATAGGCTTATTTCAAAAAAGATTGCATCGATTGAATTTTCACAAAGTCTAAATTGGTGGATAATAATGAACCATAAAAAGTATTTTGTTGTATGTTTGTACAATAACAAATAAGTAACTTACCTACTCATGGTCCATACAAATAAGATAAGATATACTATATATTTTATATGAATAGCCATATACACATATCACATAAAGGCATGCAGGCATATACGTAATAGCTATACACTGTAATGATGGAATATAGTATCTGTTTGCAACCCATTAAAGCTACTTTATTTCAGTTTCAGGAAGAGAAGCATCATGGTCAGATGAAGGCACTAGTAGTGAGGGTTTGACAGTGAGGCATGGTGAGCATTTATCAGTCACTGATTGAACTGTTTTCAATAAGTTAGTAAGTTATTACTTTATAAGTTTTACTGTATACACTAATTCTATATCATTTTTGTCTGTATTGTGTCCATGTAGCAGAGGCAGAGGCAAAATTAGAAGAGGATGTAGAAACTGAATTAAGTGATGAAAGGGAAAGCGAAAGTGATGAGAATGTGGAGAGGATTGAGGAGGAAAGAGACGACACCAAGAGACAGAGTAATAATGATGAGGGATTGTCAGAGGACCCAGGATTATGGCCAGAGAATCTCACCGATAAACAAAGGAAAAGAATTGTTCATCTACTAGCCAGTGATGGTGGTTCAAAAACAGGCAATACCATACCCAAAGATATGGAGGGCAAACCATTCCCAAATTATCTCCAGTATGCCAAGTCCGCTAATGGCCATCAACAATATTGATGATAATAAAACCAAAGGACATGAATCAGAATTGTATTAACTAATTAAATTTATATATATATATAAGAAACGTGTAGTGGGGGCCCATTGAGACTGTTTGTACCCGGGGCCCTGAATTTGGTGCTACCCCCCTGCAGACCAGTTTCATGTTTAAGTCCAGATACTAGTTTGAGCGTAGATATTTAATCCTCCATTTGGAAATAAGTCCAATGAGTTTAAAAAAGAAAAACAAAACGGGTGCCTCCCGATATTATTATAGATCCATGGTGTCTCCTCCATAGAGTGTTTCGCCAGCAGTCCGTAGCCGACTGTCGGCTGCATCCAATTTCTAAAATCAACCTTCTTACCCTTCACCTCTCCTCCATATCATTCATGTCATAATTGGAAGCATAAAACTACCCTACTTGCATTTTAGATTATCTTAAGTTAAAATGTGTTATATGTATGTTAGCCAAACCTGGAGATGCTCTTAGCAGAGGAAGAACAAGAAAGCAGCTTTCTGATGGAATTGGATGCAGCTGAATTCCGGGCTCACATGTGCCCCCTACCCTGAGGCTGGCCTCACTTGGTGACACAAGCCGTGGTTGAGTGCGATTAAGACCCATATTTGTTTTCAAAAACACAATTCATGACCCATCCTCTCAACTGTAGACATGTTGATTGTAAATATAATAAACTGTGATAAACTGAGAAAACAGTTTGATGGCGCGGCACGGGCCTCGCTCACTGTGAGCTGTGGTTTTTACGTCTCCAAGTGAGGCTTATTATTACAGATCCATGGGCTCGCCTCTCAGCGCACCGCTCTGTCAAATACGACAAGAATATGACAAAAATCTGAGATTTCAAGGGGGAAAATGAAATAAGGCAAAGTTTCATTGAAATAATACAATAGCACAAATCACTTGAAATAGTGATCAAGTATTGTTTCCATGTTATTCTTTTTTCTTCCCATGATCTTAGGGCCTCATCTGACCGCACGTCACTGTTCAAAAGTCCTAAGGACATTTGAATGGAGAAAACGTCTTCTGTGTTCTGCGTTCATCCAGCAGATGTCGCTGTTACACAGAAGCCACAGTGTACGCTTTTCTAAATGGCGTTGGTATTAACATATTTCCTAACATTAATATTTATGCAAACAGTTTGCATACCTCCCTAAAAAATACGGGGCGTCTGCCCCTCAGCCTGAAGCAGAATGGGTACACCTCTCAGGCTGAGGGGCGGACGCTGAGCCCCTCCTCCCCCGCCTTGTCTCCTCTCCTCTGTCCGCATCAGCTCACCTCCACACCGGCCTCTAGAGCAGCCTGCTCCCAGTCCCATCGCCTCTGGAGCCGCCGCAGGGACCAGCGGACCGAACCCTGAGGATGAGCGACCGTCATCTCACCCGCGCTTAGCCCTCCGTAAAGGTACGCGCTCACACTGTTCTTGTCTGCAATAATGTCTCCTAAGAATGTTCTCTCAAACTGTTAGAGCTCTATAAATGTCACTTTGTAGTGCCTCGAAGCATGGTGGAGTGGTATTATGTGTTTTCCTTTTATCTTAGAACAATGCAATACACAAGAAATTAAAATCATTATTTGTCAGAAGTTTTTTTTATTTTTTTTTTTTTACAAAGATACACATTGTTTAGTCTATTAGTGGTGTTAAGTTTCATGCAATGATTCGATGACTTATCACATTTGCAATATATGTAGGCCTATATAATAATAACATTTACTTGTAATGGCTCCATAGGCCATCATGTGTCCATACAAGGACACAGTCACATCACAGCATTCTAAACAGCCACTACTTTGACGGGCCAGCTGAAAGGAATATAGTTAAAATCCCTGTAATACACAAGTCTATTGAGTCCAGTACCTTATATGATGAGGTCATGCATGGATTAATGTTTTAGATACATCTTATGTTAAATGAATAGGGGAAATGTGCAATCTGGAAGTTTGACAAAATTACCAATATTCTTGCGAGTAATCAGAAAATATACAAAGACATAGTTTTGACTATACCAACATTTCTACAATGACACACTTTCTTTTATGTTTTCAAGTAAAATTTCTATTCAGTTATTGACAATGTAAGAAAAGGAAAATCCCTGGCATTCCCATTTCACTGTGAGGATATAAGTAGTAAGTATACAAGTAATGTTTATTTATATATCGCATTTTACAGACCAAGGTCACCCAAAGCGCTTTACAATGTTCAGAGTTCAGATATTGTTCCAATCATTCCACACACAGTGATGACGGAAGCGAGTCGCCGAACACACTGGCGCATCAAAGTCCCCAATCAACACCATCCATTCACTCTCTCATATACATTCATACCTATTGTGCATGTTTTTAGTGGTAGGGGAAACCGGAGCACCCGGAGAAAACTTACGCAGACACGGGGAGAACATGCAAACTAAACTCAGAAAGGCCCTGTTCCGACCGGAATTCGAACCCTCATTCTGTGCCTTGATAATTCCGGCAACAACAGTATTTGAGAAGTGAAAGGACCGTGTGCAGTGTGTGATCCTGCAGACTGAGGTGAAAGCTGATCAGGACAGCCAACATGAGGCGCGCAGTATTGATCCAGGGCTCCATGTTGTGTTTGTATTTCATAGTGCGCCTCAAGCAGGACACCAAGGACCTGCTTCGGAATAAAACCAGACAGAACAAGACTGAGGGCTGAGAGAAAATCACAAGTGAATTATCAAATGCAGAAAAGAGAAAGCACCAGGATTTGAGAGGCCACACTTGAGATACCTAAAGGAGCTAAACCAGGACTTTTGATTGGGTTTAAAAAAAAATATGGACCACATTTTGAGGACTGCATCAAGATTAAACCAGGATTAAACTAAGACTTTAAACCAGAATATAGGTAATGGTTCCGAATGCATAGAAATGGTCTTATCCTTCTTGTCCTTTAAAAGTGACCTTTCAGGAGAAAGGAAAGGTCTGGTGTGGTCAAGTGAAAGTTAAAACCTTTTTTAATACCATTTTGGTCAAATAGTGTGTCACTGAGGTCACTGAGCTCAATGAAAAGGACAAGGAATGAAAAGGAACAAGAATTTTTATTTTTATTCAGATTCACCCAAGGATCTTACAAAAAATAACCATTATTCTTGCTGAGGTGCAATCACGCCGGTCTTGTGGTTTCTATTCCTGGTTTAGTGCAGCTGTACTTCTATGTATACTATATAAATGAATACATTTGGTTCATATTGATATATATATACTGTATATATATATATACTGTATATATATATATATATATATATATATATATATATATATATATATATATATATATATATATACTGTATATATATACTACTACTATATTTTACTAGAAAATAAATACGGAAACTCCTATTCCAACTACTCATTTGAAATAGAAAAATAGAATACTCACATATATTGCATAAACAGGACCAGGTGTGACCTTTGAGACTTAATGCAGAAGAATTAAAATGATAATTATTGGATGATTTTGTTGAGATTTCTTCACAGTTTGTGGTTTTAATCTTCCTAAATTACACACACACACAACCACACACACGGCTCTACACACGGCCAGAGGAAGGTGTTTGAGCCAGACGTCCCTGATTAGCGTGGATTGAAAATAGGAGAACATTCGTTTTTGAATGGGCACAATGTAACATACTTGAAAAGAATAAAACAATCATCCTTTCATGAATTAAATCATGAATTTAGGACAGAATGGTCTCACAGTTGTCCCAGCTCTAATGCCTCCTGTGTGGTGGTGGGATAACTGCTGCTCCTACCTCTGTGTGGCTGGAGGAGGCTGACGGATCAGGTCCCTGCTCCCAAGACACTTCCCCAATGACACACGCTGCTCTCTGCTCAATGTCATTTCCTCATTACAGCAAACAGAGCAGAAAGCCTCCTGCATGCACTCAGAAATGAGTTTTCCCTCAATCTTTCCTTTTTCCTGCACAGACGTCTCATGGGCCACAGAAGAAAACTAGCAGAGGAGAGATGTTCAGAAAACGCCCTCCTCCAGGTTAGTGTCTCTTATTTAAACATTATAAATATAGAACAGCCCACTACTTTATAGTTAATGCTATATGCTGTAACATTTTTCTTCTCTTCATTTATGGAGGTGATTTAGAGATGTTTGATAGGATTGTCTAGGATTTTGAACAATCTTGTATTTAACTGATTGGCTATAGGTATTATATTTATTATAATAATTACATTATACAAAATATTGTGTATATACATATATATTTGTTTTATAACTATTTTATGGTATTTTTACCAAACAAAATAAATTAATGTACACTACCGTTCAAAAGTTTGGGGTCACCCAAGTGTTTTCCATGAAAAGTCACACTTATTCACCACCATACGTTGTGAAATGAATAGAAAAGAAAGTCAAGACATCGACAAGGTTAGAAAGAATGATTTGTATTTGAAATAAGATTTGTTTTACATCCAACTTTGCTTTTGTCAAAGAATCCTCCATTTGGAGCAATTACAACATTGCACCAAAAACCAGACATTTGCAGCTAAAATAGTCATTTACCACATAAGCAATGTATAGAGTGTATTTTTTTACAGTTAAGACTAGTTAAAAGTTATCTACAGTGCTTTTCCTTCAAAAATAAGGACATTTCAATGTGACCCCAAACTTTTGAATGGTAGTGCATGTTTGGAACTTTGGATGGAACCAACTGAACCAAAAATGGACCAAGGCCTGTAAAAAGAATTTAATTTTTTTGTTTTTTGTTAATAGTTATGTGTTGGGTTCAAGTTTTAGAATACATTGATAATGTTGCATAACATGACAGTAGTGCCTGTTAACGTCTTAAGTAACTAACACTGCGAGTTAATAATAATTGAAAATCATTTCAGGGGCCAGTAAAATGGTCTGTGTTTGACACCTGTTGACTACGCAATAATACAATATGTAAAATATAATGTGATAATATACATGATTAAATCATAAGCAAACTTGAAGTCATTGATTGAGGATGTTATTATCATATTCCTTCATGAATAAATCATTGTCGGGCTTCAGCTGACCAGGCTGTCCAGAACAGTAAGCTGTTTCAAAGGGGGTCTTCCTTACACTTTTAGCACTTTTGAAAGGTAAACATACAGCAGCCGTACAAAAATGTTCCTAAACCATAAAGGTTATCTTCTCCCACTCACCAAATGCATTCGCATGCACATTTTCTCACTCCAGGTGCACTGTCAAATATCCATCCATCCATCCATTTTCTTCCCCTTAATCCATTTCTGGGTCGGGAGGGTGGCAGTCAGAGTTGCACCCAGTACACTAAGCACCAGCCCCTCACTGATCCTCCTGCAGGTGGTGAGTCCACAGGAGCTGAGATCTTTCAGTGGGGGCTTCAGGCAAAGTGGGGTTAAGTGTCTTGTCCAAGGACACAACGACAGCAGTCATCCGTGGGAGTTGTGAAGTAGGTCTTACTGTGGGCTCGAACCCACAAACCCTCAGGCTCAAAGGCCAATGCTCTACCGACTGAGCCGCTGTCAAATATTCTTTAAATAAATAACTCCAAGTAGAGGCCTTGCAGACATATTGAAGTTTGCGTAACAAAAGGAAGGTCATACATAACAAACTATTGTGTAGTTTCTGTGTGTGTTCATTTTCCTTTTGCAGTGTCAGAATAAATAGTGCCATGTTTTTTCCCAAATCTATTGTGGAGAGAGGCAGTTACTATGGCAGCTTGAGTTGACCCCTTGCCGTGGTTACATAACATAGAATGTGTAATATTGGAAGAGGCTCCGAGGAGATGCTGACTTTGCACTCGCCGCTATAATTTCTATTGATTCATCCACAGAGAAGCACGAGCACGGTTTTCAAATGTATCTGAAAAGTGCGGGCTCTTGAACCCCTGATTTCTGGCCTGTCTCTGCACTGTGGTTGTAGGAGACAGATCAGGGTACACTGGGTGTGTGTATGTGGTTCATGTGTGTGTGTTGCTCCACAGCACGGGGCGGGGTTCACGGGGCAGGTGCACGAGCAGGGGTAAAAGTGTGCGTGTATCCGTCAGACGAGTGATGAGTCAGGGCTGAGTGGGTAGCCGTATTTTTTGTTGACCGTTCGTTTGCCTTTTACGTTTTTGTTTGCTCACATCAGGTCATATGTTAATCAGTTTATCATTTTTCCATATTTTCTTTGCTGCACCTTTTAATAAGTCAATAAATCACTTTAAAACGCAATACCGGATCAAGACTTCTTTAGCATAGGCTTCAAAACGCGCCACCACATTTACAGGACGCACTCTGACCGGCTCGGTGGCTCAGGTCTGCAGGAAGCCGCAACAGTGGTTCTACCAGAGGTTTCTGCTTTTTCGGTATCTTACTTACTTACCGGCTGAAGGAGGGTCAAAGGCAGGGTATGCTCTGGGACTGGGGGGAAAAACATA